TTTTTCTTTCTCCTTCATTCTCTTCTCTTATCTCTTATCTCTTCTCTCAGTATCGGCCCTGCCGACACTTTCGGGCCAAGATTTCCAGAGTATGCGCTACAAAAACCAGCATTTTGATAGCCCGCACTATAACATATGACATAAGTAACTAAGATGCCGGATATATTAGTTCCTTGCAGCACATCCTACGCCAGAAGTCCGAAATATCGATGCGACCGATGTTTTCTGCGATACGTCGTTTATACTAGCTTGTACGGCATATCCTAGACGTTAGACGTCAACGTGCGAAGGCCGACATATCATTTATACTACTTTTTTCAATGATCCTAGATACGTGTATATTGAGGCCTTGCTTGATGACCTGAGGCAAGGAGCGGGGGGGTGGGCCTATTTTGCCCGAGATAGCAAAGTTCTTATCGGATTTTATCCGTTCCCGCTTCACTTCTAACGTAGGTATTAATTGAAAGACTAGTTACGCTAGCTTTCGTGATTTATATTTTCTAAAAAATAAGATTCGCAGAATAATCTTGAGAAGAATTCTTTATAAGATATTTCAGTATAATGAGTTTTCATTTCAATCACATTTTATTTTTCCATAGTATAAACTCATAAAAGATTTCTCTCTCTCTCTCTCTCTATATATATATGTATATAAATATATATCGTATTTGATTTAAATCATTCGTAGCCTCGTATTCTGAGTTCTCAGATCTTAAAATTTTAGTGAATAGACGACTATTACAGAAAGATGGTGCGCAAAGAAAACATTTGTGTTTCGCCCACTTTCCGAGCAATCTTGCGTTTCCGCTTCTTGATGCGCGGGGTGTCTGCCGGAACGACGTCGATGCTGGTAGCATTTGGCTGTGATGGCAAGCGCGAGTCGGCACGGGCCTCCACTTCTGCGACTTTAACCTTGATTTTTTTCGTCTTGCATCTTCCGACCTTATGTGGCAATTGAAACACAGCAGCCGCAATGCACTATGGTTTATGATCGTGACATGGCCTCCTTAAACACTTTAGCTGAGAGAAGTCGGGCCGCTGTAGCAGCAAATGATTCCAGGCCCACAGTTGGTTTTGCTCGAAGTCGGCGTCGTTTTCGACGCATCGGGCACTTCACAGTCGCCTGCCGCCCAGTGCTCTTGGACTTTGCAGCCTGCTGAGCAGAGCTGCCAGCTGACGGTATTGGCCGCGAGCGTGCTTGCCTCCAGAGCAGTGAGTCTGACAAGTTGCCTGCAAAGCTGACATTCTGTTTGGCACCTGGCCTCATGCAGGCGCGCCTTTGATTTCATTAGACAAACAACAGGAGCTTCATGTGGGACTTGGCACGACAGCATGTCAGTATATGTTGCAGAAGAGCTGCCAGGAAAGAATGGGATCTCCAGCAGCAAGCAACTCTGCTCGCAATGCGTCTCGCTTTTTCCGCCGCATTGCAGCGCTGCTGCTCAGCTTCTGGTGGTAAACCCTACAGTACCCTGTTTTAAGAGAGCGATCACGATGCGGCCAGCGGCCAGTGTTGTTTCAGCTCTGAAGCCCTGTTTCAGCTGATACAGTAGACAGACGACTGCAGAGTGGACAGACGACTGCAGAGTTTTTGCAACAGCCATTCGTGGAGATGGCAACTTCATGTTCGTCTGACAGCCTTGAGCAATGAACATGCTGCGCTGGAAGGGGGATTCACTTGTGGTGGCAAGTGATGGCAATCGAGTGTAATCAAATGCAGTCACATCCACCACCGCTTGGCCTCATGACTTCTGAAGACTGCGATCCCACATGCGAGCCTTTTTGCAATGTGCAGGCGAGCGATGCTGCCTTCAGATCGTGTAGGCCTAGCAGTGCGGTGCAACTGCAAATCAAGCAGGCCTACTCCTGTGGATCTGAGAGAGAAGCCTGAAGTTGGCATCATTACACTTCCAATGGCAAGTCGGACAGGTGATACACGTCCTGACCCCGCAGAAGCGCAGGACAGCGAGGCAACAGGCATCGGCAAGAGCTCACTGCTTTATGAAGCTGCTCTGTCCTCACACCACGCGGGGGCTCGACCTGATACGTGCGATGTGGACCCCGCCCGTTTTCTATCTGCTTCTGGCTTCTGAGAGATGTGTAGCCCGCGAGCACTCAGAAGTAGGAACCAGTACAAACACTCACAGACTATCTGTGATGCTGCCAGTGGAAACACTACAGCTGTGCATGTGCAGAAACAGAACCAAACTGCCAGCGGAGCAGTTGATGCGGAGGTAACAAGGCCGAGCTCACGGCGACCAGGGGAAGAGGCCACGAGGCTGCTAAGCCCATTAATTTTCCTCATCTCTGCCTGGAGTCGTGCTTTGACAGCTTTGAACGCTCGACTCTTGCGGAGCCGCCTCGCCCAAGGCAAATTCCAATGAGGCCACGTGCTCCAAGAACTCGCTCCTGTGCGCAGGCGCCCTTGCTACATCTCTCTCGGATCGTGAAGGTCCTCTGCGTTGCATTCACAAGCACGACCCCACCAAGCTGCATGAACCACCTGTCGATAACCTTGCACTGGCTCTGACTGCCATAGGAAACGTTCTCATCCAGTCGAACCTGCCCACAGCTTCGATTAGCTCGCAGGGCAACCTCAGCAAACAAAACTTGTGCTGACGAGTTGTCAGAGGAGCCCTGCAGCTGAGAGACTGACCGCAGAGATGTGTGGATCATTCAAGGGTCGCAGGTAACCACACCCTCCCTCCTGTAGCGCGCAGTATTGCTAAGGCACATGAGGAGACACGGAAGTCTGGCAGCCTGCGAGAGTCCGGAGCCCATCGTGACCTGAAATGGGAGGAGCGGCTGTTGGGAGACTTTTGCATTTATTGATATTTCTCGTGGTGGGTGGCAGGTCTGCTGGCTGTGGTAGGGCTGGAATGGTGGACATATCAGCGAAAGAACCGAGCCAGTGTTGCGATGCCGGCTGCAAGTAGCTCCTCCATCTGGGAGCTTTGCCGACGAGCCTGAGTTCGCTTCGTCGCGAATCCATCGCCGAGCCTTATCTGGCCTGGCCTCGTCCGGACCACCAGGCTCGTAGACTGTGAATGTTGTCTGCACAAACCTCGAAGCTCTACCGACCCTGCTTGGCTGGAACACGCCCGCTCTGAGTGTCAGACTCTGGCCGGCTTCCTCGCAATAGGAATGTCTTCAACCGCTCAGGTGGCATCTCACTCACCTGGAACCATAATGGCACACCATCCAAGATATCTACACACAGCTGTCGCGTGCTCGATAGAAACAAGACATGCTGGTGCAGCGCCAACTGCGTTTACAGCACCTCGCATGGATGCCTGCGAAGCGACGTTGTCTCGTCAAAATAACTTATCGCAGTTTGACACTGCCTGACCTCGAACTGCTGCCAGACTTCCACATCCTTCTCAGACGGCTGCTCCTCCCAACGCGCAGATACACCCCAGGAAGTCCATGGCAGCTGTTGGCGGCTGAACACAGCTGCTCCTGAAATGCAAGAGCCGCAGCATCCAAGTGCGACACGACCTGCCAGTGTACTTCTCCACAACTTTCCGTGACACCGTTGCAATTCTCGGACTTGTTCCATCTCGGTGGGCTCCGCACAGACGATGCATCGACACCTTTAGTCAACATGCACGCGTGTTCCGCGACTGGCATGCCTCCGATTATCGCAGGTGTGATGTTTGCTGTGATAAGTTGCACAAGCAAGCGTGTGAGCGAGGCCTTTAACGTCAGCAGCTTGTATCCTGCCCACGATGATCACCTGTCGGTCTGTGTGGGATGCTTTTACTCTGGCAGCCCTTGTAATCGTTTCTTCGGTCACTCTGCCAGGTAGTGCAGGCGGTGCGAAAAGCACTCACATTCACGGCGTGGCGGTGTAGGATCAAACAACCAGCAGCATAAGATGATTCGGGACGAAGATGTACATAGTGTAAGGCGGCACCTCCTGCCGGTCGATCCCAATGCTGTCAAGTACGCGTAGCACTTCGTGCACCAAGTACATAGTTGCCTGAAGCTCGGTGTCAGCTTGACAAAGCCATACACTGGGGCTCGCCGCCTAGCCTCTGTCAGGAAGAGCATCCTGATCCCGCTCTCCAGAGCCAAAGCTGCCTCTATGCAGAAGGATTGCTCTGCGACACTCTTCGTGTGCAGAACTGGAGCCTCACGTGCACTGGCCACTGCCGCTCCAATAGGAGGCACCTATCGCGAATCGCTACGGTAACAGTTTGTCCGATGGCGCTGAATAGATGATTCCATCCGCTCCACTCATTTCGCACAATCTTAACTCAAGCCTTCAACTGGCCAACGGCAACGGAGCTGTGAGGTGTCACCTGGCTTAAAAGAAGCCATGGTGCGGCGATCGCTCTCCTTCAGTGATTCTGTTTCGGACCTGCAAGGAGCGGCCCCCGGCAAAGCGCAGCCTCAGATACTGAACTCTCGAAGATGCGCCCTTTACCTCAGGAGTTGTCGTGTTTCAGCTGTCGGCCCATGCTGCCCATGTCTCTCCTCGAGGTCTCGGGAATTCGAGGGAGACTTCACCTGCAAACTCTCGATATCGACAACACGAGAGAAACCAAAACGAATCGAGACATATCCAAGCGCTGAAACATTCGCCTTTACTTGGAGTACCCGGCTCTACTTCACGAGATCTGCTCACCTTCTTGTCCAAAGGGCGGCAAAGTCTCCGTAGGCTCCACACCCATGGAAGGACAGGGAAATCTCAAGGTTCTACTCTCAGCTGCTGGGAAATGTGGTGAGGTGAAGTAAGCATAGCGGGATGAAATTGAAGTGTCTTTGGTGGTCCCTAGGCTTAGAAAGCCTCGACACGAAAGCAGTCTCATCTTTCTGGCTCGCGTGGCACCGCGCAGCGAATTCGGCCCAAAGCCATTCACAGTGTGCTACGGCGTACTGCAGCGACGGCCCCTTGCCATCTTTCGGTCCTGAGGGAGTAGATTCGATTCAGCAGCGTTCTCGTAGAGTTCTTATTGCAATCGCTGAAACTCCTGCGGTTTCATCGAGGCTGATGCTGCAGGAACTCGATCATTGCAAATGCAGGTCCCCAGCCGCCGGCAGTAGCTGGAGTGGCAGGCCTGAAGGTCTCGGTCTCGTCTCCACTCGATGGGCTCAGACAAAGAAGCAAACTACCAGACCTTCGTTGCCGGTCCCGCTTCAGCGGCTCGCAACCCGGTTGCTCGTGGTCGCTGCACGCTGTCTCTCTCCTGGTGCAATGCATCTACGGCCGGCTGTTGGCGGGGGATTTGCGGTTAGGGGGGTTGTGGTCGCACTCGGACTTCGGGGCAATGATGAGGGGCAATCATGTTGGACTACCACTGCCATCAGTAGTACTCGTACTAGTGATACAGCTTATTAGGGGCACTAGTCACTAGTGGCCACTACCAGACTTAACTCAACGAGAACTTGGCAGCAGCCTGACTTCCTTTGCCGTTGCTTGCTTCCCGCCTGGCTAGGACGAAGCCTGCATGGCAGGTTTGGCTTTCCTTTTCTGATGCATTTCCGACCTTGCCCTTTGGAAGTCTTTAGGATGTGTGACAAATGCCACCTAAATGTTGAAAGCGCCGGAGCCGGAGCCAAGTCTCCGAATGTGTGTAACATGGGTGGGTGGGTGGGTGGTGGGTGAGGGCGGAGTGATTCTGACGCAGTTCAGCATAATTGCGAAGGTATACTGCTTCTTGGACTGCTGAAAGTACCGGCATGTACTGCCCCCTTTGGGGCCGAGGCGATGAATTACGATGTATAGCTATTGCCACGTCCTTGGGAGGAGCAGCTTTGCCAGCCATGACCTGAGCTCGAGGTTAACAGCTTCCAACTTCAGCGTGGAGGAGGCATCGATGCTGGGAAACTGGCACACGGCTCAAGCGAGTTCTCGGCCAGAACCTGCTGGTAGCTTATGGACTCCTGGCTCGCGAGTAAATTTGCCTCTCTTCCGAGCCGCTGCTGCATATGCTGTAGCCCACGGTGTTGACATGCTTCTGGAACTCAAGAAGTAAAGCTGCCCTTATGACATGTGAACGCATCTCCAGCGAGCTCCAATCCAGTTGTCGCCTGCCTCGCACGAGGGAGTAAACAGACTTAAAAGCTGTAGGCTGTCACCACATGCCTGCTCTGCCGCAGTGCCTTGTGGGCCAGCCGTGAGGTGCTCTTGAACTTTCGTGATCTCCGGGCGATCCAGCAACTCATGTTTGGTCATGTATGGAAGGATCTCTTCCAGCTCCTTGGCTCGTTAGGGCAGCCGTCTTTGCCGCGAATCTTGCATTGCAGCCGTGCCGCTGGCCAACCAATTCTCACTGTGCGGAGTTCCTGAACAAAACTGAACTGCAACACCTTCAGCTGCACATGCGATCATAATCTCCGCGTTAGTTTCAATGCTCCTGAATCTGCAATGTCCGGCCCAAAGAGTACACATCAGCCTTCAAGCCGCTGTAGGCACCTGCCGTGCTGTATGGAAGCTGCTCCAAAGACACCTGCAAGACATGCAAAAGGGGCCTCCGCTTTCAACTTCGGGAGCTCGAAAGCCGACAGTTCCACATTTGCCGGAAAGCTGTTGGTCGGCCTTGCAGACTTCAACGAGGAAGGCTGCGTTTGCTCTCTGCGCTTTGCGCTTGTTACTGTACCCCTTCAAACACCTGGGCTGGTGTTAGAGCGCCTGCTTTAGCTGACATGCCGTCACGAAGTCGCAAAGCCGTACTTCTCCTGCCAACGGACCCTCCTATGCATCGCAAGGAGGCTCGTTCTCCATTCATGGCCTGCAAAAACCGAGGAGGACCGGCCTGATCCAGAGAGGAGCACGTTGTCCGGCTTTATGTCGAGATGGCAAATCAGCCGCGAGTGCCTCCGTCGGTCTAAAAATGCAAGAAGAGGATGTTGCCGACAACATATGTTTCCATGCAAGGCACCACTCCGACCCCATCCACGGCTAATGCGAAGACGTCGCAGAAAATCGATGGCCGAACTGTGGAAAACGCCCATTCCGACCCTATCGATGGCTAATGCGAACGTCTCAAAAAGCATTCATGACCGACCTGCGATAAGGACCCCTCCGACCATGTGCAAACGTCTCTGTTGATGCCATATCGGATCGGCAGACTCACAAGAAGGTTTTGTTGTAGCCAAGTGTCAGGTGGCTCACCGCCTGCGAAGCATGCTAGCCCCCTCTCTCACTGCTTGCGGAGCGGATGATCATATGTGCTCTGCATCTCGTGACATGCCATGGGCCAATGGGCCTCTAGCAGCTGCTGCACGACAGTCTTGGCGGTGTTGGCATACCGTCCCAGCCACTCTGACAGTCGACCACCAGCACAGAGCTCCATCACTGTCCAGAACTCGCGCTCTGAGTCAGATATCCCTTAGCTGCAAGATCTACATGGGAGTTTCTGCAAATAGGGGACCCTAACATAGCACCCTTAATAGTAGGATCCTTATGATAAGGACCCCAAAATAAGTACGCCTATTCTTCGGAAACTCCGACATTTTCTGCCGGCCTCACAAGTCTAGCCGAGTCTGTCCATGGTGCAGCCCGGTTGCCGTGCAGGCTGACAATGTAAGGGGACTTTGCGAGCGAGTGTAGCATCTGCGAGGCATGTGCGCTGCTGGGTGGCCCGCTCCTTCCCTGCTAAACTTACCTTTGGTTAGTAGGGAATGGAGGAATGGTAGTAATAGTAGTTATAATTGTACCCCATTCCTCCATTCCCTACTAACCAAAGGCAAGTAAAAACCCAGACCACGACTGCCACAATCCCCGGCCTGGACCTCATTCAGGTAGTCTCCAGAACGGTGCACGTCGCAGCCCTTCTGGATTCTCTTTCCAGCGACGGTGATGCCGGTGCGCCTGAAAATGAGGCGATATTTTGTGGCCGCCGTCGTGTGGGCACGCAAACTGGCACTGTAGCAAACAGACCTGTGACGCAAGCGATACACTGCCGACATTGGAGTCTCCTTGGCGCTGCAGGGGCGAGACAAAAACTCAAGCATGGTTTCGACAGTCCAGCTCATGATGATTGGTTCGGTCCGAGCACGTCGATCAGATCTAACATCTCGAACTCGGTCAAGTCCAACCTTTTCGAAGTTAGGCAACGATGAGTAACCCCTCACGGGCGAAATCGTCCAGCCTTCTGGCACCTGGGAGTACTGCGGTCTCCTGACTTGAAACCGCAGATTGCCGCTGCTTCCGTATCTTTGTCGCAGATCCCACCGCTCTTGCAGCTGCGACCATGTGTGTCCTTGTAGCGCTGTGGGCTGGCTATCGGCGGCCTGTTCCTCTGATCGCCAGTTCTCAGAACACCTGCATGCCTCCAGCTGTCCGAGCCGCAATGGAGTGTCATCACACATCGGATGGCTGTGTCCGGGGGCCTGCTCGCAGAAGGCTGTTCCGGGCGAGGCGCAGAAGCTCCTGCCAAACAGACCCAAGGACCGCCGTGGCTTCAATATCTTCAGAACTTCCCGGTCTGGAAGAGCCTTGACTGACGGCACCGACTGCTCCACTGGAAAGGTCCTGTGCAGTGCAGCATGTGGGCAATGACATTCGATTTGTGAGAGCTCAGTTGAGCCTCTGGCCTCTGGTATTCAGAGAAGAAACCTCTGTCAGTTTATCACTGATCACCCGTGCAGAGATAACAGGCACCATCCAAATGATACTTCTGCCCATCATCCTTTCCAATGACATCGTGCGCCAGGGCTTGTCACAACAGGTGCACTTGAGTGACCTGGGCTTGACCAGGATCTCCCCACGCCATCAGGCTGTTGCCAACATGTCTCGGGAAGAATGCAGCTCCTTGTGCCGCAATGCTTCTCCGCCCACTTTTCCTTGCTGCGACTCTACCAGAGCCTCTTTCGAAGGAGGCTCCTGCAAAGGAGGCAAGGTGGGGAAGTGATGCTGCCGACCTTCTGAGAGGCCAGCCAAGTCTTGTAATGACGGTCGAGTACTGTAGCTTCGTGAAAGCCGGAAGTCGATCATGATTTGCTGACGATAGACATTCCGCTATGTTCAGCAACGAAGAGGGCCACTAATGCGTCTCTCCCGAGAGAAACATGACGCTGTGCTGATCAAGTCCTTCACTATCTCGTAGCTTCTCTGACTTGCACCGCATCCCATGGGCAGTACCTGCCTGTTGCGAACTCACTCTTCCTCCTGCAGGCTCTAAACTTGAAGCTCTTCTGCCTCAGTTCTTGCAAGATGTGGAGGGCCCTAATGCTCGGCTTGTGGAATCAGGAGACTCCATCTGCTTGGCTCTTGCAAAGTATTGGGTGAAACACTCTTCGAGCCATCCGTGCAGTGGGTCGATTAGTCTGCATATCTAGTCGGCAACATGTGACAGAGGCATCATTGTGACAGAGTGTTGAGCAGTTCTCTGGGCAGGCCTGCAGTGGTATCTCTGTCAGAGCATTCCTAAGTGAGGAGGATCTAACCGCCATTTCCGCAAGTTTTTCCTCCACCCGCAAGTAGCAAGCCTTCAAGAGCTGCTCCGGGTCCCAGGCACCACCTCTCGGGATGCAGTGGCGGCCTCGGCACGAGGAGAGCACACTCGGCCGATCACACTGTGCTGCACCCATGTGCGAGCGAGGTGCCTGGCGCCAGTTCGCATACCTGGGTCAGACAGCCGAGACCACAGGCAGCGTCTCTCTCCCTTTGCTAGGGGGACTGGGCGGGCAAAGGCGTCTGTCTTTCGCAAGCCAAGGATGATTGTATGGCCAACCTTTCCCGCAGCTCAGGCGCACCCCCGTAATGTTTGGGGAAGCCAGGTGAAGTTGCTTTCTCGGGCAGACTAAGCCAAGTCAGCGGCTGAGTATTATATCACTTCTCATACCATGACTTCACCTGTTTGCGAAGTGCTGGTTGGCCGGAGCAGCTGGCAACACTCGAAAAACAGAAGTAAGGGGTCTTGCTTGCACTCGGACAAGGAGCCGGAGCTCCCGCGCGCGGGCGCGCACCGGTCTTCAGTTTGTCTGTGACACTTCACTAAGTAAGGGGTCTCTGTCTCTCTCTCTCTCTCTCTCTCTCTCTCTCTCTCTCTCGCCTCTCTCTCTCTGTCTCTGAACAGGATGCACTCCAGCACACGTGTCGAGGCCACGGCCACAGGCCGGGGTCGTCGCCAAGGCGGTCGATAAGTGCGTGGATGTGGCCAAGTCGACTCAGGCAGACGCCCTCCGTCTTTCTCTGAAAATCAACAGCACAGAACACAGCACCGGCGCTGAGCACCTTTGTGTAGTCTCGTCGAGCGTCACGAATGCCTCCCAAAATCTCCAGGAATGCGCTCGGACACCAGCACACATGTAGAGTGACCCGTGAACCTTTCAAGCTCAAATCATGCATGATGAATCGTTGAATGTTCGCGTTCGAACACATAAAAGAAACGAATCAAGATTGCCTTTAGTTGGCTTCGAGCACCCAGCCTAGACTCCTAGACTTGCAATTTCGCGGACTTGCAGGAGCTGAGCATTAGGCAAGCTTCTGCATGTTCAATTAAGGCACATGTGCCTGAGCAGCCAGGCGCACATTGTTCCACACATAGCCTCAAGTAGCCAGCGTTGTGTAGGATTGGCGCCCAGAAATTCTGCTGGCAGGATTTTACAACTCGCAACACCATCAAATGTATCGACCCCCTGGCGGCTGCGGCAAGAGAAGACCGCCCCGCAGTCCGATTGCAATCTAGGCAAGCCGTAGTAGATGCTACAAGTATTAGGTACAGCTGCAATGAAGCTGATTCGACAGCCTCTCTCGTCGCATGCCGAGCTGCGCCAGGTAGGAGCAACGCTTAGCCAATCACATCCGCTGCCACGTCGATCGCAAGCCTCTCTTTTTCGACAGTTTTGTTTTTCCCGCTCTGCGTCGCACGAGGCGACACACAGCTGCACCGACCTGATCTGAAGCCTTGCTACCGTCGGAATGACAGCGTCTCCAGGTTGCAAAAGCCTTGCAAGTGCCTCCTGCCTCAACATGCTAGATTACTAGAACCTTGCACCTTGTAACAAACCCGGGATCTCTGTCTCTCTCGCTGAACTCCAGATCCTAGGGTTCGGGGTGCTCAAGATGTGAAGCTCCAGAAATCCCTTAACAATGCCCAACCAAAACAGCCTTCGGCACAAGGTTGGCGGCCCATGCTGCGGCATCCAGGTGACGCATGGCCTGCTTGAGCTTTCAACTGGGCCTAGTTCGCGGAGGCATCGGAGGCCGTCGGCCGCAAAGGCTTAAACCACTCGAAGTCTACCTCAAGCCCCAGTAGCTTTGGGCTCTTGATGGCCGATGCTCCTTGGAGCGGGGCCTCCTTTCTGTCGAGGCAAAACGGAAAGCACAAGCCAAAGGCGCCTGCTCTTCGCTCAATGGCAAGCTTGCCTTGTCCTTACGCACTGCAGATCACTCTACACAGGCGCACGCACTTACAGACAGCTTCCTGGCTTCTGGTCACAGCCAGAGTTGAACATCCCAGCCTGAGCAAAAGCACTTGGTCAATCTGTAGATCGACTTCGCCAATTCATGATGCGAAACATACCTGCTGAGCCGCTGGCAACAAAAGCCGACCGGTTGACAGGCCCATTCCCGCGATTCCATCCAAAGAGCAAGATGGCTCCCGAGCATTTGCGCGATGTGCGTGCTTTGCCGCGGAGCGGTTCTCCTGGACAATTTCGTAAACAACTACTGCTGGAACTCGGGCATCCTGTTGCAGCATCTCGGTGTAATGCATCGGGCGAAACAGCACAATTTCAAGGCTGTGCTTGATGGTGGCAACAGCTGAGAAGAGTGACTAGAGTTCTGATACAAGCACGCAGCGTATCATACCTATCGGAACCTCCACCAAGACGAACTGGCTGTAGTCTCAACTTTAAGTTGGTCCCATGAGTGGACAGTGGATTTCTATGGAATGAATCGACTTTCTCTGGCACTGCTGTGTATTGAAGAGCACCAGCGGATAACAGCTCTTTTCAGTCATCCAGTTCGAGTGTCACCCTTCGCACAACAGGCATGCCTGCTGCAGGTGGGGGTGCGAGCTCAGAAGCAGAATTTCTTTTCGACGACGTGCCTCAGCTAGCCACATTGCAGTACATTGCACGTGTCAGTCATGCGCCGGCTTGGCATCCCTTGAAGGTATCTTAGCTGCGCACGTTGAGGAAGGGCCTTTTGCCCCAAGGCATTTTGCCCCAGCTCCAAAGGCGCTGAGGGCAACTCCCCCCAAAGCATGTCGGGTGAAGCCATGCAGCTTGCTGGCGCTGGCGGTGCAGGGGGCTGCCAGGGGGGCGGCTGTTGGGATGCTCCCTGAACCTCTCGCCTGCCTGGCTCTGGCAAAGGGACTGGATCGTCTGCAAACGTGGGCCCCAAGCTGTCGGGCCCACCGGCACAAGCGGCAAGTCTTTCCGTCTGCACTCGTGGCTCTGCTGGCCTCCCTGGTGCATCGAGAGCTTTTGAGCGGTGCGCCCGCTCGGCTTGTCGACGTGCATCCCGCGACATGGAGAGCCTTTCAATCAAATTGGCAACTTTGGGGGGTACAGCTGCTGGCGTCTGCTTCAACTCCACATGCAGGGCCGTGTCCTCTGCATCCTTCGGAACACTGGGCAAACTGCTAAAGCTGGGGCCACTGGGGACCAGGGGACTCACTAGGGGATTGTCCAGGTCATCCGGCTTCGGGCTGGGAGGGCCAGGCACTGGAGCGAAGCTTGGGCTCTCACTCGCCTGTGTTTCCTCTGGTAAGTCCGGTAAGGCTAAGCGAGGAGCTTGAGGCGGACCTGGGACTGCAAACCTTGCTCGCTCTTCCCGGATTTGTTTCCAAATAAGGGCTTCCAAAGAAAGCTCTGCATCCACGATGTCGTCTGCAGAGTGCCTCTCACCAGCGTCACCATTTTGATCTTTACGTGCAAGCTGCGACAGCAGGTCCACGGTATCTTGAGCCTGTCTCCTCTTTGACCCAACGCGGTGAAGCTTCTCACTGTCTGCAGAGATGCGGTCTCTGAGCTGGCGCCGCTGTTTGTCGCTTTCGCACAACTGTTTATGGACAGCTGCAGCCGTTGTTGCAATGTCCCCCTCACCGGGTCCGGTTGCCTCAAGCAGCTTTGTCCACAGCTCCTCCCGCCGATGGCCTGCCGCCAAGTCAACCTCACTTTGCCGTTCCTTCAGCTTCTGCGCTCTAGCCCGAATGGTCTTTATCTTGTCACGGGCTTGTCGCACCTCCTGTGACAACGCATCCCAGCGTCGAGTGCAAGCAGCCTCCCAGCGCTGCATTTCTGCAATGGCTCGTTCAGCCCTTATCAGGACCTGCAAAATATCCATCGATTCTTTTCGGCTGAGGGTCTCCTTGCAACTAACGCTATCCCGCCAGGCAGCCAGTTGTTGCAAAGTGCGAAACTCCGATGGACCTGAGTCGCCTGGATCGCCTGGACTTCCCGGATCTTCTACTGGGGCTAAGCATGCGAAATCAGCCAGCCTGTTGCGCAAACTCGAAGCATGTATCGTGCTCTCTTGCAGCTGCATGCTCTGCTCACCCGCAAAGTCAAAGCTTCTGTCATGACCATGGACTGGCAGGATCGCTTTGGACAAGCCAGCCTTGGTCAGGTGCTCTGCCTGTCCCAAGAGGGCAGCTAAGCGACCAGCCGGATAGTGCGAAGCTGCTTGCTGCACGGGTCTCGCAACGGCGTACATACTTTCGAGGTTACCCACAGCCTTCTCAACTGCAGGCAGGACGATGTCAAAGAGCTGCTTGTTTTTGGTGCTTGTCATCGCAGTGGCCGGTGCGAAAGCTCATGCTCGTTTTCAGCTTGAGCCGACAACACCTGGAAGCCGAGCAGGCTCTCTCGAATGTCCATGCTCCGAACATCGTGTAGCAAGAGTCTATGATCACTTTCAACAGGATCACGACTGCATCGATTTTCCGCGTGACAGTCACCCAATCATGCCGAATCTGCCAGAAACCTAAAGCTCCGAGTCAGGGTGGGTGAAACTTGGCATCGGCAGCTGAGCCGGCAGACTCTGTAGTCTATGTCCCTGACGAGAGCACGGGATCGCTCGGGGAGAGTCTCTGGAGACTTGCGCAGCCACGGCATCTCAAGCAGAGTCTCGAGATCCGGAAGCCTGCGAGCCGGAGCCTGCACAACGTTGCAAGTCTCTCGCTCTAGCGGCGCCCAAACAATTTTGGCCTACGTAGCGGGGTTCCTTGATACCCGCTTGTGATAGCTTGGGCCCTTGCCGATCTGTCGTCCTTGCGATCTGGCCTCTGCTGGGTCTCAACAAGTGTCGCAGCAAGCGCACTGCTACTGAGATTGCAACACTGCCCTGGGAGGATCTCTTCTCCTCCGGGGGTCGACCTCGGATCGGGATGGGCTTCCCTGTTCATTGCACGCACCGTTCAACCACATTTGACAGCACACCTGCCGGACACGCTGGGCAACCAGCTGGAATACTTCCGCCAGGCATCCATACAGTGACTGGGCACAGGGCTAGGCATACATGCGTGGGATGAGCTCTGCTGGCCGGATTCGTGCGAGACGTCCTCGTGCAAGGCACTCGGTCCAAACTCTGTTTAGCAGGTCTCGCTGCGCAACCATGAGTCAGAAACGATTGGCTTGAGTGTGAACGAATAAGTCCACGACCCATGCCCGGGGCTCACAAGAAACTGATTGGCGGTGGCCCAAAGTCTGGAGCCCCCTTCACCCACTCCGCCCACTCCGGCATGAGCTGTGTCCAAGTGCACGTTCACTGGCCTTGAGCTCAAAGCCTGCCTCGCTGGCAGTTTGTGTCGGTGGGAATTTCGCTCTAGCTCTTCCTGCGTCCACCGCGACGCGGACAGTTGTGCCCCACGTGTGCAAGCAGGACGCTTCTCGGATGCAGCGTCTTCGGGTTTGTCCTGCTGTGCTTCCCCATCGCCACAGGAATAGGTCAACATCAAGCCATGGCCAAATGAACGATCAGTGAAGGCTGCCCAGTGGACATCCGCCTTTCCTCCGTTCTCACTGGGGACAATGTAGTCCACGTGCTGAGCGTCGACATCGCCTTTATGAACTGCCCAATCCGAAGCGACTTTGCGGTCCGGATAGCTCTCTCCCGGGCCACATCCCAGCCAAGTCATGGTTGAGAGCTTTGCTGAAAGAGCAAGCCCTACCCCAACTCGGGGAAGAGTCGCCAAACCAGTTAGGGGTCCGATTGGTGTCACAGTCACTGACACCACCACTCGATGCGCCTCGAACACATACTCGAAGCATGTTTCCAGAAGGAGCTGGCCATTTGCACTGAAATTTTCCCGCACGCGAAGCTTGGGACCTTCGGCGGAACTGCTCCACTCACCTGGCAAAGACATCCCGCAATTCAAATGTGTCGTAAGGCCTTGCTAGAGCAACCCCCGAATGCTGACGAGGATGCATGCGGTCACAGATGCGGTTAGCCGATCCAGCCCGACGATTTTCCACCTTGCCATGCCATGCCGCGCACAGGAAGGCAACAGTTCAGCAAGCAGGTTCTTAAGCCGCCGGCGATGCCGCGAGAGACAAGAAACCGTAGCAATCCAAGAAGTGCCTGACGAGTGGTACCTTCCAGCGTTGCGCATGATGCCATGGCTGACAGGCCGCAAAGCAAAGCCCAACCCACGGGTTCAAAACAAACGACTGACTACTCGAGCCTGCTTTCCCTAGGAAAGGGCATCCTGGCCTTGATGAGCCAGGGAACGAAGAAGTCCGTGCCGCAGCGATCATTGTCCTTGCTCGTGGCACTCGTGGCAAGCTGCAGTGTTACGTTACATTACGTTACCACTGCTAACAACTAGCCCTTCGTTCTGAGAACCTGCCGAGCACCCTACAGTAGTCAGTCGGAACACCTGGACTCAGGCTCCGGACTTGACAAATGTGGCAGCCGAGTGTCTGTCGTTGCACGCGTGAAGTGGTGCTGCAAGCCGGGCTTAGCGAGCAACTCCAACCCGTCAGTGCCACACAAGGATGTCCTGAGCACGGCACAAAGCGGATTCAGTGTGGTCCACGAAAAATGTCTTGAAGCTGGGGCTGCTACAGAGTGCCCCCTTGGAATCTTGCCGTGTATGTAGCTGATTTGATCACGGACTTGTCTCCACTTCTCTCCAAGGTTGCTGGACCCGCTGCAGGCATGTGCAAAAGCGGGGGCAGCGAACCTGCCGGTGGCCGATGGCGAAGGGTCGAGAGGGTTTGGACAACAGCATGCTCAGTCCTGAATTGGCCTGTGGGCCGCTGCTGTTATCTAGTTCTGAAGCAACAGCCCAAACGAGGCCAGTGCCTGAACAAAGCATGCCACCAGCGGGCTGCTTGCTGGTTTCCGACTTGGGTGCAGCCACTGTGAAGCAAACGTCAGCGATTACGAACCTTGGTTCTGTACGTACGGTTGGCAATCACAGAAGCCAAACTGGCTGCACCAGAGTTAGCTCCACAAACCAAAGCAGCTCGGCAGCTTCTCAGGTATCAGTTGTGATCCGTCCGTTTGGCAGGCCTGTAGAAGCAGCCACTGACCACATTGCTGAAGTTCAGGGCTTGCCGTCTTCATCACAACTTCAAGCTCCCGCGATTCTCCTTCATGCAACGGCTGCATCCGGCTTGAGAACAGGTCTCAACTCGCAAGCTCTACGAACTGCTCTTCCCAACACTCCTGGACTTATGCCTCGCATGTCCGCATCCCCGCGGATTGTGCACGGGCACTTCTCTCCAAGCGCATCATAAGCAAGCCTCGGATTGGTGTGCTGTAGAGAATTACAAAATGCTCCGTCGTCTCAAGTGCTGAAAATCAAGTCTGAGGTGTGCTATGGCTTGCTGCACCCTGGTCGCGCAGAAAAGGACAAATGCCCAAGATCTCGGAAGGTGTACCGATTCTTGACCTCCGTGAAGCACGTCGACTCTCTCAACCCGAGCTGCGCTGTAAGCTGGGAGATCTTCTAGGCAGCCGATCACAACTGACTTTGGACGGATCTGCTCTGTGTTTTTCTGCGTTCGCCAAGGCTCGGGCATTCACCCGGACAAGCAGACCTTCGGAGCAGCCCTCTTGCGATTTGAGCTGGAACTCGACAGGTTGCTGCAGCCTTTTGAAGTCCTCTCGAGCAAAGTCTCTCTCTTCGCACACTGGTACACCACCTGTCAATAGTACCCACCGTAAAACTCTATCAAAAGCTATACACCAGCCCAGATCGTTCTGGAGCGTCCTGGTAAGCTGGATGCGGTGTGCGGTCGGGGAAGAGGATCCCATCCACAATGAAGTTACGATCTTGTCGCCCACTCTCCTTTCCGAAGTCTCCACCGTAGGCATATTCACCTCACTGCACATCTGCGAGTGTTTCTCTTGTTCTTGGAATGTCCTCTTTGCCAGGACACACGAGCCTTCAAGCCAGGCTTCGCGCTGGTGCTTCCCCTTCACATTCGGGTCCAGGATTTGAGCCTTGTGCACCTGCAGTCGAGCTCTGACAAAGGTGCAGTATTGCACAAAGTAAGCCTGATCCCGGCAATCCTGGTAACGGACATCAGGCTTGTATGAAAAACATTATAGGAAACAACCAGCAGCGACAGTAGTACTATTAACGAAGGCATGGCAACCCACGACTGAGTCAGTACTGGCTTTGTGCCTGGTTATCACTCCAGACAGTGACAGGCGTGTAGTTGATATGAATTGGTCGTCGTCGTCGTCACCGTGAATCGATGAGCCAGGTGGCCAAAAGCAGCTGTATTTCAGAAACAGGTGGATGTCTCTATGCATTTGGTGTGCAGCCATCCTTTGCATGTGTTTGACGAGCTTACGCTCAAATGGGAACCCAAGTGATGGCGCCTTCACCGCTCCATCAGCCCATTCCCATACAAATCCTCCCTGTATGCTTCGATGCTCCTTATTTCAGAGCGGAACCTCTGGGCCAACTCACGGAATGCATCCATGCATGTAGATGTAACATTAGCCATGTGTCAGGTGCCGACGACCAAAACAGCTCCCAGTAGGAGTGCAGGGATCCGTTCGAGTTGCCAAGGGCATGACTGTACTCGCAAAGTATGACCTGGTCGGACCGCTTCGGATCACCACTTCGCAAGCATGAATCTTTGGAGCCCGCATATGGGTGGTTGTCAAAATTATGGTCCCTTTTTGGGTCCCTAATATAATACGGCACCTCATATTTTAATATTTAGGGTGCCCAAAAAGGGACCATCATTTTGACAACTACCAATATGATCGCTGACATGCAAGACGATGCCAGCCGAGGCCCTGCAGCCGGGTTACAGGCCGAGCTCTGCTGGCTGCCGGAGGCAGGATCATTGGTGGTGACCAATACCTGAGCAGTCCAGGCAAAGGCCTACCCCGTCACACCAGTATCCACGCTCTTGATGTCTCGAGCAAAAGACCTACAGTATGAATGGCAGCTTGGTAGCATGGGGCAGATGATGTCACTTGATGCACCTGGCCAAGAACAGTTCTCAGAGGGGAGGATTGCCAGTCAGGCCCCAGCACCTTGTCCATCTCCGAAGAATATAACAGCATCACTGCCACAAGTTGCCCCCTCGTATTGGACCGGACGTTGCTGGGGATCCCATCGATGCAAGGACTCGACGCCCACGGCGAAATTCGGCCCCCAACCGCTCTCGTTTCCGAGTGACCAGACGATGACACAGGTATGATTCTTCGCGCGCTGGAACATGTTGAAAAATCGATGCAGGAACTGCTGTCTCCAGGCCTGCCCGAAGGTTCTCAGGGCCAAAAGCCGGTTCGTGTGGCTAGGAAGGATGACTGCACTTTCAGTAGAAAGACATGCGGGCAGCCTGGTCACAAGCAAGAAGTGAAATCGCCAAGTTCTCGACGAAGCCGTGTGTTTCAATATTGGCTTCGTCAACCACGTAAAGCCCATGCTCGTCGCAGAGCTCGTACCATCTGGGATGATGCGGGTAGTGACTGTTCCGAACGGCATTGAAGTTGCCTCGCTTCCTTAGACCATCCGACCAGCATGGAATGACGTGGCCCTTTAGTATCCCTTTAGTCAATCCCCCATCGTGCAATCGAGAAGCAACATTTCTATGTCTTTGAGCATGTCGTCAGTGGTGATCGCCTTCCCTCTCGTCGGGTGCATCTCGTGCACATTCGCACCTGCTACCACGATCGGGCGGTCGTTCACACAGAGCTGTCCATCCACGATGGCAACTGTGCCTCTAAGCAGGCCACCGATTGAGTCTTGAGTCCGAGACATGTGCTAACGTGACCACTTGCCGAAGCTCTGCGCAGGATGTTCAACCGGGGTGCGGAAACCAATGCGCAAACGCTCAGCCTGGATCGAAGTGTCAGAGGCCTCCGTGAGCTCCAGCTGCAGCGTGTATAGGAAGGGATCCTGTCGGGTACAGCCAGGGACCTCTGATCCGTACCTTGTGCATGACTCCCGCTTATACACACTTTCAGACTCAAACTGTAGGCTCGGTACGCCGGCCGGACAGTGCGGGCAGTTCAACAACTTTACGGTGATGCCTGATTCGACATGCTTTGTGTTCCCCTGGGTCTTTGACCTATGAACGCTATCTGTTGGCGTAAGGAAAGCTCGTTAAAATTGGATTCTGCCTCCGCGCTCCACTTTCGCACTCCCGGAACGCGTAGTTCTGCTTCCACACCTGCCAAGGCTGATACATGAGCTCAAGGACTCAGCTGTGACAATCCCTTACTTTGAGAGACAGAGTCAGAGAAGGCTAGGAATTCAGCTCACGCGTTCCAGTAAACACTAGCTGCTCTTCCGATCGTAAGGTTTCGGATGCTGCGATAGCCCTCAAGCTCACAGAGACAGATCGAGCGAGCAAGCTTCGATTAAGATTGCAGTGGTTACAGTAAGTAATTACAGGCGGACCCGGAAGCTTTGACTCTTGCAGCTGTGGAGCCTTTGTCCCATGAAGCACGCGTTATGGCGTTTTCGGGGAAGTCATGACAGCGAGCTTGTTCCGCACTACACGAGTGGGTTCAGGCATGTAGAGCAAGTGTCGCTTGCAAGGAAAACTCGACGCCGCAACAGTCACATGGTTCCTTCAGGGAACGCTTGCATCACCGCATGGAGCCTTTCACATCGTCGGCAAGTTTGACGCCTTCGGGGTAGTAAAGTCTAGGGCTCGTGATTCGTAAGCTCCCAACAAATGCGTCATCATTGAGTCATCATGGTTGGACCGTACTTGTTCCCAACCCTCAGCCGTTTAAGCGAACACAGAAGGGTATCCAAAATTGGCCCCAAGTCTACCGCAGTCTTGCCTAACTCAATGTAGTCTTTGGATTGCAATCGGCTTGTACTGAGCCGCTTTTGCATAATACCATGAAGGCATTGAGTTAACGTGCAGTTCAGGCAGAACATATCCATACCAGAAGTACTCGGCAATGCTTCCAGAATTCGACCGAACACGAAACAGATGACTGGAAGCCCGTTGAGGATCTAGCATGATGCCAAAAAACAGTGCGATGTCAATGAACATCGAATGCTGGGCGCGGCACACCAACCGGGCCCGTCATCCGTCGAGCCAGTTTTGGTAGGTGCAGTGGCGCGTGCTGCCGCCAGGATCTCAGACCCTTCTCCATACAAAGTGACCTTTAGCACCTTGTTGCTGGCGGCTGTCCCGGTAAGCTGGCATTGAACATGCAGAATTCCATCGTCATCCTCGTTGAAGAATGTTCGAGTCTGATAATCCTGGGCAGGAGAGCATCTTTTGTAGGGTTCATGTGCCTTCGCTGGGAACTAGTTCGACCGAGACGCTGCAATTCGACAGGCTTCGGGTACCTTGTCGTGCCCAAAGCCCAGATCACAGAAGCAGCACCACAGTTCACTGGAAACACGCCCCAGGAGCAGTTCAGCTAAGGCACGAAATGCAACTCAACTTCACGATGGATCCCAAAAAGCCACCATTGATCCTGATCCTGACCCGAAGCTGTCTTAGTTCCACGAAGACCCAATTGCTCTGCAAATTTCTGAGGGGCACGTGACGCGAGACTCACCGAGTCCTCCAAGTACGATCCATCGCACCAGCTTGGCACCATGGCCACAAGTACCTCTGCTTTCAGGCTCAGAACAGAACTTACCTGCTAAGCTGGCTGCTCCAAGTGGCATGCTCAGTGCGGTCCGGCAAGTGCTGCTCTGACAAAAGAGCAGCTGTAGCTGAAGTTCCTGGTGAAAGCGGCTTTGGTCGCCGCCGATTTGTCACGTATGCGCTGATTTTGCTGATGGGAGCAACATTTGTTCGGCTGTTTGAGTCTACTCCGGACACCCTCTCGGCCTCGCTTGTCAGCCGCCTGCTGACTGCCGATGAGTGCATCCGTAATGTCAAACTCGGCAGCAGTCATGGAATCCTGTGAATATCCAACATACCTGGCAAAGTCAATGCTGCCCTTCCTGGATCTAGATACAATCGGAGTTGGGCGCATCTTAAACTGAGGCATACTCAATATTGAAGGCACCCTGCTTCTGGGGTCTCAGTGTCTGCCTTGGTATCGCCTCCGAGTGGCTGGCCATCCACCCACACCATCACCGCAGAGCCAACGGCATGGAAGACGAGGTGGACACGTCGGCCCTGCAGATTTTCCATGGGAACGTTGAAAGTTGTCCGATAAAGACCTGCGGGTGGAAGAAACATCTGTTACCCCACGCTGATGGCATGTGGTGTCGGCATATGAAAACCAGCACATTCACGACGTGCATGAGCCGCCCAGCCTGTAGGATTGTCGTGCGACACGTAGGGTGCCATCAAAGCGGGCACTGGGGTGAAGGGGAACGTGATGTTCGTGTAGATGGGGGCTGACATGCCCAGCATCCTTGGCTAGCGAGAATGCTTTCGCGGCTCAGAATTTTGCATCCTTCGGAACGCTGAACTACCGAAGCTTGATCGAAGAGGCTGCCAATTTGACGGGATGGGGACTTCGTTCCACTGGCTGTCGTCGAAAGATAGTTCCCTCGCTTGGATGTATGCCTCGTGGTGCGGTAACATGCGAACCACCAGGCAGCGAGCAGGCGCATAAATCGGCTGCGTGGGGGGTTATGGCCTCTGCAGAATGCGGGTTTCGGAACAGCTGCAGTCGCCACGGCTTGTCACCGAGATCCTGGATGAACAGCGACTTCTGGCCTTCCGCAGCCTGTGTTCCATCAACATGTGATGCAACCACCCTTGCTGTTCCTTACCGTGGCTGAAGTGCCGAGAAGCGTCTTTGGCATCCGGGAAGTAGCGCAGTGGCGCATGTGCACGCCTCGGATGCTGCGACACCCCCGTGTACCCCGACAGACATGCTTCGCTGAACAAGTATTTCCGAGTGCGTTCTCTGGAGACTGGACATGTAGGATCCCGGCAGTTTCCTTGGCTTGAGCACGTGTAGCTCACAAAGCAGACAAGGTGGCAAATCTGCTGTCGGGAGTCCGATGAGCAAACACTGCAGGATCCTCCCAAGCACGCCGACGACAACAGCGCCGTGGAAGCCAAACAATTTGCTTCAGAAAATTCACCTCGGCTCGTATGCTGCTCCGGCTTGAAAGCGCGGAGACGAGGAAAAGCTGTCTGCTTGAAAGGAAATAATGACAAACAGTGTGGAGTCTTGCAGACAACACAACACTCTCCCGGTGTTCTAACTCTAGTCAACGCTGAGTTGTTGCACTTTCTTGCTTTCGAATCAAGTCACGGCCTGGAGCAAAAGCAGTCGCCATCTCCACGCATGCCACTGGCAGAACCCCAAAAATCCCGCGGCAATAATTGCACCAAAGACTATGGAATTCATCCTTGGCGACACCGACAAGTTCTCGATGCTTGCTGACTCTCCGCTCGCCCACTGTCAACTTTGACACATGCAACCACACTTGCATTCGAGCGGCAACTCATTCATGAAGGCGATGCAGCACGAATGCTCTGCCACATAATACGTCAAAGGTCTCCGAAGTTTTTCAGCGCTGGTTCTACGAAGCTTAGCTTACTATCACTGTGGCCGCCGTTGTGAGATTCTACCTTAATAGGCAGCTTACATTACATGACACACTCAACTGGTGCTGGACGTAACAGCTTCTCTGAACATGGTCTAAAGAAGCATAGGCATGTTGCTCACGGGTTGCACCGTGGTGCCTGCTAGCTAGGTCCTAGGTCCTATGCCATGATGTTAAGCCCTTGGTCTTTCGATCCATCGAGCTCTTACACTTAGGAACCCGAGCGCGCGCCGACGCAGCATATTTTTTGCCTCCCGCCTGGCTAGGACGAACCTACGATGCAGCATATACTATCTGTAACTCGGCCGCTGCTTTAGCCAACAAGAAGCGAAAGCAGGCGGCGAATCGAAGTGCACAAGATTACAGCCCACATTCTCAATAGAAAGTGCTGCGCGAGCAGATTCACAGTGAATTGTTCGTCCGAGCTACTCGCTGCTTCTCAACACAACTCTTCCGACTACACACGATCACACACGGAGAGCACTCTGAGATAACGACTCGTAGCCAAGGCCCAATCCCACCAGCACGGCCGAGACAGTCAGCAGGAACGTGTTGAGGCCCCTGCATGTACAGGTCATGCCACAAGACCTGCAGACTGCCGGGCTTACGAAGGCTTGGGGCTGAACCCGTAGTGGTCCGGCGCACCCTTGGCGCCGGAGGGCCTGCTGTGCGGATCAATTCGTTAAAGCCGGAACTCCGGAACGTCGAACATCCTACTCCATGCCTCCCCGGACCACCAGCGATTGTTTGCACTGCAGCCTGGCTGCTGGTGGATTCTGGTCCAGCGATGACATCCTCTGCACAGTCGCAACTTCAAGCAGCACCGTCGTTGACACCAGAGACACATGCTCGACAGCACGCACGCATACAAACCCTTCTGCTTTGCAGCGGATGGGAAAGCGACATGGCAAGTGCAGTCGCAGCACAACGACAGACATGAAGCATACCGCATGCTTCAAGGTCAGTGCGCACCTTAACTTTCCCCCCAGCATGGCAAGCACAAATCCAGGAAACAGGCTGACCGAAATGCCCACACTGCCCAAACAGGTCAGCCTGCTCGCATGAAGCCTGACACAAGCCATGCCATGCACCATGCAAACCATAAGCCAACTGTGCAGCTCCAACTTTCTGCCTTCTACATAACCAGGTGCTCGTCATAACAGTTCTGAAAGCACCGATAGAATGCTGTCCCTCGGCGACCAGCACTCCCAATGGATCAAGGGGTCTCTCTCCCCAATCTCGGGCTGGCTGCCCCACCGCCAAGCATCAGATTGCAAATTGCCATGTTGGTCGCTTTGCGCGCCTTCTGTCTCTCCCACCGAACGTCACATTCACACTTCGTTTACATTCTGTGGCTTCGCCAAACCCACCTGGTGGTCGAAACACGGAAGAACAAGAAATTACGTAATGCGATATGTGTCACAGTGCGCGTGTGTGTGTGTGTGTGTGTGTCAACATTCGGGTCCGTGCTCTCAGCCGAAACTTTGGCACCGCTTCTCCCCTGGCTCGTAGTATTCTCATGTTGGTCCTGGTTCACCTCTGGAGGGGGCGGCTCTGGTGGTGTTGAAGCTGCAGGCTTCGCTGCTGCTGCAGCTCGGGCATCCGGAGCAGGGCCAGGTGCATCGCCCTGAACTTTCGGAGCCGGGGCTGCACCCACCGCCTGCCTCAGGATTTCAGACTGCGTGGTTGATCTTGGTGCAGATGCTCAGGTGCCATGAGGCGTCTCAGGCTCCCGCGCAGGCGCACCTTGCGCTTGGAAGGATGTCATCTTCGACGCTGCAAATGTGCGTCGGCTTTCGTGATAGAGAAAGTCATGTTCAGCAACCGTCTGGGCGAGTAAGCCGCGAGGCATGACCTCGACAGTCGCTTCCTACCAAAGGTCGACAGGTGTGCAATGCCTCAGCTTGACAGGCCTCTCGGCAGCCAGAAGGGCCAGCGCCGAAAGCGGCTGCAAGGTATATAACTGGTTCGTGCTGCGTGCTACCTCTGAATGACCGGTGTGTGACATGATGTGACATGCGTCTGGTTGTCCTGGCCCTAGCTCGATGCTGCTGCTGCCACCTGGCCTGACTGATGCGATGTCAATGCATGATCTGGCTCAGGCAACAGTGCAGGATGAAAGGCTGAAAGGCACGAACACTCGGTGCATCGTGGAGTGTGAGCCCGATGGGCGGCCCCAACGCATCAGCCGAAGCAAGTTAAAGCCTCTTTGTTCGCGAGGACAAGGAAGGTCTGGTACTGAACTAGGTACTAGTGACTATCTACGGGCACCTTTCGTTTGAAAGGTGCTGGAGCAACAGTGGACTCACACTCTTGCATATACTTCAGCAAAGCTATTTCTGATACGGCCACAAAGACTCCGGCGCAGCTTCTACATAACCAGGTGCACGTAAGTACATGCAAAGCTCAGGATTGGCGGCAGCCTTTCTCTTTTTGAGCTTCTTTCAGAACCTGCTAAAGTGGTGATCAAGGGCTGCCCAATTCCGATTCTCACAGGTGTCACAATCAGGCAAGCAGGCCCAATCTCCAAATACTGCCAAAAATCCGCGAAAAGATACGAAAAAGCGTCCCGCAAGTTGCCGGCAGTTTGAGTCGCCCCGTTATTTTGCATTCTTCTCTGCTCAAGCGGCACCCCAATCCAAAGTCTGCTCTCACAATCGAGCTGCCCACCCTATCTGCCTGGAACCAGTAAGCTCTATGGCTCTATTGATGCCTAGCTGGCACCTCCTGCTGACATGACAAGACCCCAGCCAAGTGCTCCGCAGCCTGAACGAGTTCAGGGTTGTGAGTGCTCGCAAGGTCCTGTCCCTTGACTTTAGAGACCTCAGCATTCAGTGGCTCTATGTGTGCTGAGTAGACAAGCTTTCTGCTCATGTCGTCCGTGCATCCGGCGTCATATGCAGACAACGACCTCAGCTATCAAGCAGCATGCACCAGCAGGTGCTCCAGCAGCAAAGGTGAAGAACAATCTTGCTGGGCACCACGGCCCATGATTCTTGACCTCGGGCTCAGCTCCGTTCCTGAAAGGTCCACAGGCACATGCCCCACATGCCCCACATGTTATCCCAGATCGTCCCCCAGTTCTTTGGCCGCCTGAGGAGAATCAAGGCGCAGTCCAGATTTCCTGCGTAGCTCGCTGCCTCGGCGAAACCATGGAGCATCCAAGGCACAACCGAGCGCTCCAGAACTGAGCCATGCACATGAAGCGGAGTGTTGCCGTCAATGTCCTTCCGCTTTTGCCACCGAGCAAAGCAGCGATGGCACGTTCTGCTGCACGTTCAGTAGACTTCCGAAGCGAGCGCCAACATTGAGACACGGGGGACTAACTTCAGACGTCTGGCGAGGCTCGTGCCGACCGTATAAAACTGACGAGCCTCACAGTCAAGCACATGGCAGGTCCTGGGCGTCTATCAATTGTGGCACAGTCTGGACGAAGAGCTGTGTCACCTGTCGCAAAAACAAACCGCCAAACTCCGTCAAGCGCAGGTAACGCGATCGCCTCTGTATGCCCAGAAGTGCATGCCTCAGACTGTTGAGACTAGACTCTGCGATTCGACCAAGCAGGGTGCTGCATACGCTTAATACACACCGCCAATCCAGCTCCGCACCAGATGCAGCCCACTTTCCCATCGGGATGTTAAAGCCTCAGTGGCCAAAGGATTCGCCTTATCCTCCGGGCCATCGTGTTCGAAACACAAGAACAGGTCATGTCTGAGGTGGGTGCGCCAGGGTTTGCTTTCATTTCCATGAGCAACTGAACCTGGCACGCCCATAGCGCTTGCAATAAATGCAGGGGCCACGTTGCTTGTCAATGTGCTTGCGCTCAGGGACGGACACACCGTATGCAACCAGTTGAACCTGACTTGCAGCGATGTGGTCCCTGAACCTATACTTTTACCATACTACTTTAGATTCTACTCCGTAGCTTGTCTGATCGCACTTTACTTTACTGCAACAAACGCAACATGCGAGAAGAGTCAGGTTCTGATGAAACCTTCTGTCTCGGAGTGTTGTGCTAAGGCTGTGGCAAGCCAGGTGCATGGGAGACATTCCCTTCAAGTTGCGAACCTGACAAGCACAAGTCTACACGCCAAAGCGCAAGCCACCATCATGTACTTCTTTGCAAGCGGCCTCCACATTGGCAGAGACATTGAGAAGACACTCCAGAATCTGCCGCTTCACAGTGTCCCGGCCACCCTCCTGCAAACACAGACTATCTGACCTGCGACGCTTACTGTGGCACAAGTTGAAGCTGAAAGTCTTCCCTTTACACATGGCCCGCCTTGGCCAAAGCTAAGTGCATGGCCCTCAGGCGGAAACATCTACAAGCGTCAGGGCGGAACACGACAAAAACGGAGAATCGCAGCCTAAGACAGGCACGTGTTCGCCTGAACGTCCAGCAAGTGTGGGTCAGCACCGAACAAGCAGAGAACCTGGTCACACAACCGAGCGCTGCAACTCGACTTCACCTTTTGCATGCTGGAGATGTGGGGAGCCTGGCCTCTACCAGCTCGGGCAGCTGATTCTCACATGCAAAGTGGAGAGCAGACTTGCCCGCCAAAGTTTGGCAGTCTATGTTTGCTCCTGGCACTTCTCACGATGTGTGAAGACGTCAGAAGTGCAGAAGCTGCACTGACCGCGGCTCCGTATTCTAGGAGAAGGTTGGCGATCCCTCGCCAGTTGCTTTTTCTCAGGCACACCTCGGAGTTGATCCAGGCAGAGGCCAAAGGGGAGAGAAAAAGCCTATTCAACAGTGGTTCGCATCCACAGGTGCACGTTTGTGTCACCGACTAGAAGCTTGCGTTCACACCGCATCCGTGTCATCATAACTCAAATCATGGATTCATAACTCAAATTACGGTTGAGATCCGGGCATAGTGCAAAGGCGCCGCCCCAATGTAGTTTACCGTGTTGGGGTTGGCCTCAAGCAAACCACAGCTTCAGAAGCCTTCTGCCGGAAGGTGCATCTACTGAAGTACTCGTGCACTGTGTCTTGCGGCCATGTTCTCCAGCAGGCACGACACCGTCGCAACTTCATTTCTTGGTGCCTGCTCCAAGGCCAGGTGTACAGCGCGAGACAAAAAGGACAGCACTTCGGCAAAATGCCTCCACGGCAACATGCAACGGAGTATTGCCTTCGATGTCCACCTGCAAACAGCGGTGCACCAAACACCCAAACACTTGACGTGTCACAGGCGAGCACCTCCTCCACTGATGCACCTGCTCTGGTTTCCAGCAGCATGAGACATGGGTGCGGCCTCCAAAACAAATTGGCCTCCATTGAGGATGGCATGTTCGATTCCCGATCTGTCTCCCTGCATTTGACAATGCAATGCAGAGATGCAGAGTCAAGGGGACTAGGCAAGAGGGCTTAGATCAGTCTTGGGTCTGTGTGGGTTGTGAAGGCATGCAGGTGTTTAAATAGCGGCGCACGCAGAAATCCGCCTTTTTCCGTGAAGAAAACTGCAGCACTGGCGCCATCGGAATGGCCACTTCATCAACAAACATGTGGCCCCGGCTGCCAGCATGACTAGTTTAGTTTCTTTTGGCAGTGCCGAGAGGCATTCATGCACCTGCTGCGCAGCAGATGCACGGAAGTGAGGTATTAAAGCGCAGGTGCATCATCCAAGATGCCGCGCTTGCTCATGCGCCGATGTACTTTGTACGAAGCGGACAGCGCAGGACCGAGTTATGGAAAATCAGCATCACAGATTATTGCCATGTCACCATAGGCCGGTTCTCTGGAGGGCCCTTGGGAGTTGGACTTTGTGAGACTTTCTGGCGCAACGGGCTACACGGCTTATGGCTCTTGGCAACCTGCAGCCGAGTCTCTTTTGAGCTCCCTCGTACGCTCCGAAGAAGATGAAGCCTCCAATCGTGATCCAACTAACGCGGGGTCCGATTCCCCTGAAGAGTCCTGACAAGAAGTCGGGGCATCCCGGAATGCCACCGGCGTCTGGACTCGCACACACAGAACAATCTACCGGCTCACGTCCTTGAATGCCCTCCTCTGCTGCAATAACTCTGAGAGTTTGCATGGTGCCATCGTACTTTCGAGCAACCTCAAGCAAACTCTAATAAGCGGCAATGGTAAGCTTCGTGTGCTTAAGAGCGGGGAAAGAGACCATTGGGCAGAAGCGCATGGCACGCATGCTGAGCACTTCACACCCTCTTCCACCTTCTCCAGCATGATTCGTGTCTTCGCGACATCGAGGGGCGTGGTGGTGCCTGAAGCTGCGAGACTTAATCTCCAAATGTGATCAGGGGTCGGCTTCCCCAAGGCTGCTGTCGTATGCCCCAGATGAATTTTTGTCTGCATCTCTTGCTGTAGAGGCATGCCTTCAAACGTCTCTTTCTTCGAGATCTCAAAAAGACGAATGTTGCTGCCACGCGGCCGCCAGCTATGCCACCGGCTAGCGAGCCGCAGGCTGCACCTTCGCACAGCCACGATATGCTCAAGCTACGAATCTGCTGCACGGAGTTGTGGCCTTGAATGGCAGTTGTCTCGCTGCCTTGTCTCTCAGCTATTATCTTCTTGAACCTGCACTGGAATTAACAACGCTCCATGGTCGCTCAAAGGCTAGGGGCAAGAAGCAGATTGTGGCCCACGGACCTCTCATAGAGTGGAAACTGGATGAACGAGAAGGGGATCTCTCGCATGACCTGAGCATGCCAGGCGGAGAGCTGAAAGCCGAATTCTGCGATTCCACCTGGAGCAGCTGAGGCACCATGGTCCCATAGCCTACATAGAAAGCTCCGAGACCTCCAGTTCTGTAAATCGCGGCAATGGCTTCGGTAAGCCTCCTTGGCGGATTCTCAGAGCCATCACGGGCACCAAAGAAGGGCCATGCCAGAGGCGATGTGGTGACGTACATGACCAACATTGGATTCGGCAAGACGCGTATACCTGCCGACCTGCATGTTCTGAGTGATGTTGGCCGTCGGCACCTAAATTCGAGCACAACAACCTTTTCACGTGGATAGACTCTTGGACATGGAATGGCAGCTGCTGTTTTCAACTGGTTTCCTTCACCACTACACCACTGAGTCTGCGTCCCAGGGCCTAGATATGAAGTATAGTATGCAAACGAGGAAACTGCTTGGTCTGCAGCCTTATGACAAAGATCTGTGCTCGCGTTTGTAGGATTCGGAGTGCGGAAGCCAGAAGCATCCAGCGGATGTGCCCTCTCTCGCTACTTGCAGCAGAACTACCCGAACCAGACAAGCCATGGCTTCGCCGCAGGATGATGCGCCAGCATGTTGAGTCCAGTGTTCCTGCCGGCTAGGCGCACGCAGAATGTATCAAGTTACTGCGATGTAAAGTGTGCAACATCTGATTTCAAGCGCACTGGCACTGGTTAACGTCTCGGACAGATGGGACCTGATTCCCGGAAAAGTTCTTGGACACCTGCCCGGGCTGCATGTCTTCACCAGCTTCTGAAAAGGAGTTCATATGGGACCGACCTTCTTCATGGTCTCGTATGTGGAGAAGAACATGGCAGCGCCAGGTGCAGATCCGATGGCAGCGGAGAGAATGCCCTTGTAGGCTCCGCGAAAGCCTCCTGACAGCCCAGGCTGAGGTCGTGTTTTTTGTCACTCGCGCTCGGCAACGCATGCGAGGTTTCTGAAGTTTCCCAGCATGTTACAAGATTGCGTCTGCTTAAACTTGAGGGCGTATGCATAAAGCAAGTAGCTAATTCAGACGAACACTGGATGTATATATATATATATACACACTTACACATACACGTACACACAATGATACAAAATCATCACATAGGCAAAAATGGGTATGCCTGTGACATCGCCTCCTCGCAAGATTCAATTGTATAAGTTTTGTGGTGTATCGTTATGGCAAAGAAGACCGGCCAGGCCTGAGGCCCAGAATCCTTTTTCTGATTGGAGCCGAGTTCGGAAGGTGTCCAAAGGGTGCAGTGCGCAGTCCACAGTCGTACCCGCGATACCACCAGCAATCAATGCCTTCGCAACAGTTCGGTGGTGGAAGAGGCCGGTCGAAGGTTTCGTCTCTCACTCTGGCAGAAGGCAGGCAAGACTCCGCACAAGTCCATCCATCCATCGCTAGGCTAGAAGGTTTGGGGTCTGACAACAGTGTTGTGACGAGCTGCCAGCGTAAAGGGAACTCCGTCATCTTCCGCCATGCTGCAGCTTCTGCGGCCAAAACTACGGGACGACCAGCGCGAGCCCCAAAACTGAGCAAACGAGCGAAAAGACTCTAAGTCGTCGTGCAAATCAGCTAACAAAGTCGCACTGCATGCAAAACCTGCTCCCACAGTGCAGTGCAGAACGGGCTACATCACTACCCGCCTTTCGGCACAGAGGAATGAGCATCAGTCGGCTCGCCGTCTGTGGCCGCGGTGGTGCGATCACGGGGGCCTTGCACAGGGGGCGTGCTACGACTGGCTGAGGCTGAGCCCAGGAAGTGAAAACTTATGCACCCGGCTGGTGCAAAGCCGTGCTCCGCAAACGTGGCTTCCTGCAGAGAAAAGCGTGCAACAACGCTGTAGTGCGGCGAGGGCCTGGCCTCATCAGGATGAGCAGTCTGCTTCGAGTGGAACCTCCGACGCTTTGCGTGTGAAGCAAACGAGTTGCCAGTCAGCGATGACTCCGCCGAGCCACTCTGAGGTGGCGCAGTCCGCTGGTGGCGGCGGGGGCGGGGGCGGAGGCGGTGGCTCCATGGCGCCTTTGCTGGGCACATAATGTGTGACTCTGCACACACACAAACACACAGAGCATGCTCGGTGCTTCAGTGGCCGGCCCAACGTTCCACCGTCGTCGGCTCATGTCGCGAGCCTAAACGGCCTCGAGTCCTTCATCTGCCTCTTGCGCAGGAACACACGCCGTTCGTCCCAAGCATGTATGGGACAAGTTGACGCCCACACCTCTCACAGGTCTGCATTGAACTGTATTGTGACACCAGCGTTGCAGCGATCCCGACACGAGTAGCTCCAGATTCTCCCTGCTCATAGACTAGTTACCAGCTAGTTGAAGTCACCCATCCATGCATCTTGCTCAGCAAAGTGGTCTGCAGCAGAGTTGAGAGGCACGACGGAGGACACCTGACGAAGTCGATCACCGGAAGCGACCGGCAAACTTTTTCTGGTGAGGCAACTGCTGGAGCCGTTGTTCGGAGAGGCAAGCATCAGCACTTCGCAAGCACTTGGTCGCAGTCAGTTTTTGTTTGGATGCTGGGCTGAGACGTACGGACGAATTTCCGAAAGCCAGAGTAATGTCGATACATATACCCATATACACATAACTATATTCAGATGTATACCTATACACTGTCTCACCACATTTTCTTGCGGAGAACTCGGCTGCGGCTCGACTCAGGAAGCTGCAGATCGCCGTGAGGCATGGACCTGGCGCTCTTCATGCTTGGCTAGGTTTAGGCATGTACACACCGAAATGTAGATGTTCGTACGAGCTGCATGCAATGACTCAGTATGAATCTACAGACACGCATGTGTGTGTGTGTGTGCGCGCATAGATTGCAGATTGAATCGACGACGGTGTCATACAACGCAATACAGAGCGTTGGCATACAAGAATAAGCACCGGCATCGTGGCAAGTGGTATCGCGATCGCTCAATACTCGGTGTTGTAAAATCTCCCGAGCTCTCTGTTCTTCGGGTCCTCGTGGTCTTCGTCATCATCATCAAAGTCACCATCGTGTGGTTCTTGTCATTCCCGCTACTGCCACGACACGAGATGTCCTACCGGCTACAGGAGGGTATGCCGCCAATGCATTGCAAGTGCTGCTACTCCCTGTGGCATCCTGGAACATAGATGCCACGCGGACTTCAGATTCAGGGTCCCAGCTGGCCAATAGAAGACGAATCACATGTCGGGCCGCAAACCTATTTCCTGCAATCACGCTGCATCACTCGAGACCTTTTGCTTTCGCATCCTTTGCACTCGAATTCTTGCAAGAGGGATCTCTTTGTGGACCCTCTGTAGGTCGTGCCTTTTACACTCCGAGGAGGTTTCTAGCACAGGAAATAGCTTCATTCCCAACCCTAATTAAGGCTTGGCCAAGTGCCGCACTGCCCGACTCTTCAGCCTCTGGCTGCAACACAACCAAGTATCTTCTGCCGTCGTTCCCCTTCTTCGCTTTACACCGCCACGCCAGAAAATCTGTACATACTCCTTGGATAAAGCCAAATGGCCTTGTGAGAAGCCCCTTTGGGATCCTTCGAGCACATTCAGCTTTGTTCAGAGGCCAGATAAGCCATCCGAAGTGGCTGTCAGCACTGGACCAAGCCATCTCTGGAGGATTGCGGGACGAATTCAAAGACATCCAACCGGATGTCCAACTCTTTCAAGTCACGCGGAATTAAGGAAATCAGCTGAGCTATCATTTCGTCAGACATCTGCTTCAAATTGCTGTGACATCGGTTCTCAATGTGGTTCCGCAAGTCATCATAGGATGCAGGCCGGGAAATCCTCAACACTGCGGTTGGCTTGGAGGCTGCAGAGGCACCACCATCCTTCTCAAATCCGACCGAGTAGTAGAGTCGATTGAAGTCCTGCACCAAGACATGTCAGGTGAGGTCGCACTCATGGGCGCGCACGCACCCACCCACCCACACAAAGTGCGCACACACACACAGACACAGACACAGAGACACAGAGACACAGAGACACAGAGACACGCAGACACACACACACACACGCACTCACTCACGGGCCTGTGTTCGACAGAAGTTTCAAGATTCCAACTTTCGAAGCAGCTCAACCCTGCAGGCATCCTCAAGCAGCCTCTATCAATGAAGTGTATGACACTGTCCGAATGCGTAAGCCAAGCACGCCTACCGCTTGTTTCAAGCTCGCCTTTGCGATGGCGAGTGCAAGGCACCCGTGCACTTTACCCGAAGTAGGTACCCGACATCTCTTTTTACAGCTAGATCCGAAAGGATACGTAGCAAGATGCACCTGGTGAGAACACGCGCTGTCAAGGCGTAGGTTCCAGGGTCTGTGGGACTCATGCTCAACATTTAGCAAGCTGCAGCTCCGACACGGTTCTGGCCAAAAGCCCAGTGTCGGGCGGCAGCACCAGCTGCTGCTTCAGTGGTTCTATAGCATGTATCGCTTGAATTCACGTCCGCTGTATTCGCCAAATCGTTTAGACGCCTGCTTTTGAGTCCAGCCCGTCGTCCGCTAAAGCAGTTCGTTGATGTCGAGTGAGTCTAGGAAAAGGCCTTGGCCCTTACCTTACGATCCTGGGATGACCGTCGGAGGTCCTCGTTGCCAAAAAGCATGGATGTCTTGGAGAAGCCTCGGTAAGGTTCAGCAGCGGACACATGTCGGGCACGAGACACATGATTCTGCACAAAGCTTCCGAGGGGCTGCACCACATGGCTCGGCCAGTAGGGCACAGTACTCGTGTAAGCTCCTCTCAAAAGCCCTCTTCCAAGCGACTTCACAAACAAAACAACAGGTGTTTTGTGCTTCGTGACTCGTGTCCTTGTCAAGGCTGGCCCTGTCCATGAAGTGCACGGCAAAAGTGGCGACGACTAGGTCGAGGCTTTGCTCTGGCTGGAGACGCAGAAACTCGACACCGTCGCTCTTGACGATCCTCAGTAAGGCATGTGGGCCGAATTGGCAACGCTCTTTCTCCTGTCCCATTCTCACACGACGCACCCTCGACCCAGAAAAACAGCCATGAACAACTTCTGCTTCGCTGCATTGAACTCGGCTCTTCTGCATGCCGGCAGGTTTCATCTGTGAGCAGTTGTCCGGAGGGAATGGATCCTGAGTGTTTCTTGTGAGCCCCTCTAAGTAGACAGGCAAGCTCTCGTCTGCCACCGAAGTTCCACGTTGTACATGGTCCGCGCCTGTCGGGATGCCAGGAGAAAGCCACACAGAAAGAAAGGTGCGGGCGCGCGGGAGATACCTTCAGAAGTGGTGTAGCTGGAGTCACACGCCCTCCTCACCTCAGCATTCTGTTCCTTGTGCGGCTTGCTTCGGCCGGCGTCCTCCTTTTTCTCTTGTCACCGGTTCTGGTTTCGTGGGAGGGCGGGGCTGTTTTCACACTCCAGAAAACTCTTCATGCTCACTTTCTTGCTCGGGGTCTTTTTTCGCGGGTTTGGGGTCTCGGTCTAGGGCAGAAGGAAGAAGAGAGTTTCTAAAGAGGCAAAAAACAACCCCTAACTGGCCATGCAAGGCTTTTTCACGCGTTGGGTTTAAGGGTTTAAAGCCGAAGGAACAAAGAATCTTTGGGGAGGCAAAAAAACAACCTAATCAGCCGTACAAGTTATTTTTCGCGCCCTGGGTTTGCGGGTCTAAAGCCGCAGGAACAAAAGAATAAAGAGACGTAGAACAGAGAGACAAAGAGACAGAGACACAGAAGTAACTGAAAAGAAAGAGGGGGTGACAGAGGGAACGACAGCGAGAGAGAGAGAGAGAGAGAGAGAGAAAGAGACAAAACGAGAGACGGAAGGAAACCAAGCGGGACGCGGGAAAGCAAAGGTGAGAGAAAGAAGAGCAAGAGAAACAGAGCGACAGACAGACAGAGTGACAGAGAGACAGGGAGAGAGGAAGAAAAGGAGGGCAGGGCAGGGACAGGAAGCGAGCAAAAGGAACGAATGGCAGCGGAAAGGACGAGAAAGAAAAGGAGTTAGGGGGAGGGGAGGGGAAATGCAGAATGAACAACACGAAAGGGTGGAGAGGCAGTCTGCCAAAAGCCACCGAGCCGTGTGACAAGGTGACAAGGGCACCAGGCCCAGGAGAAACAAGGAGCAAACTGCTCGGAAGAGACCAGGGAATTTCGAGACCAAGGAGCAATCCACCGCTCGAAACAGGCTACAGAATTTAACAACAAGGAGCAAACCGCTCGAAAGAGATTAGAAAATTTGAGAACACTGGATCAAACCGCGCGAACGAGACTGGAGATTTGGCGAACAAGGAGCAAACCGCTCGAAAAAAAGGGAATTCAGAGCAGCACGCGTCCCAAGTCTCCGTGTACTCCTCCCAGCCTGCAAGAGCTTACCCAGTGTGCCATCGCCAGCCCCGAGGTCTGTAACGACTTTGCCGTTCGAGTATGGCAGGCAATGGTCTGCGATCCGCTGCCAGATGCCTGTGCACAACTTTTGCTGTAGAGAGATCCGGGCTGCCGACGAAGCAGGTGCACAGTATCACTGCCACAGCCAACGCTGCCCGGACACTGGGGTGGTCGGAGACGTTATACCTAGGTAGCATCGATGATATGCAAGGCAACCCAGATCACCCAACTCTCGTAGTCCCAAATCCTGCTACATGGGGGCTGATGCGTTGGCCTACACTTACACGCTGCACACTGCAGCCTGATTTTGTGAAGAGTCTCGTTTGATTTGCTCGCGCTATGGTGCTTCCTTTCCTCCCTCTCCCTCCTTCGCCGGTATATACTAGCTAGCTCGCGAGCAAACCTGCAATGACCAGCCCGTGTCCGCTCCTTCGAACAGTATGACCACCGTCTCACCAGCTCTTGGGGAAGCATGGCAGAATCGGCTGGTTGGGATGGTAGTTGCGAATGAGAACGGTGTCGGTATGTGGTAATGTAAATGCTCGCGACGACGGGGTGGCTGCCATGATTCCATAGAAGTTACGAACCATTTCCTCTTGGAGCCAGGATGCTTCGCATGTGCCTCCGCCGTGGTCGTGTCCCAGGCAGTTCCCAAAGATCTGTGTAGAAGTGCCGCTTCACGCAGCTCGGAACTCGCGTGTGTCGTAGCCGCCATGGTTGCAAGGCTCACCTCCGAGTGTTTTGATTAGTGATTAGTGCATGGGCTGCATGGGGGGTCAGAGGCAACTCATGGCAAATCAAATTACGAAAAAGCACTTCCTGCTGCGCCGACGCCCTGCCAGCTCTCACGGCAGGCAGATGCTGCGTCCGGTGCAGGCTTGAAAGATGAATCCTCCTGAAGGCAGCCCTCATCTGAACGGCTCGCCATTCGGGCCGAGATTCCACACAAAGCGCATGCAGCATGCACCCACACACACGCACACACAGGCGTTGGTGCAGTCATCATCAGTCATGGAAGCAGGCAGGCAGCACCCTATCCGGCCTCCGTCAGGCGAAGCTCGTCTGAAGGACCTTGGGCAATCTTCAAATGACCTGTGTCAACATGCCCGGGATTCCCACGCAGCCGAGCCTATGTGACAAAGAGGCGGCGACAAGCGCCATTCACGCCTACACTGGCATAAGGTTTCGGAAGTCTCTTCATCAGCAATATCTCCAAATTCACCATGGCCTCTACCTCTTTGTCCAAGTGCGTCGGCTTAACAGGCCGGCCAAGAATTTCAAGGCTGAAGCCTCGGACAAGAGGCATACCAATTACCATCTTGAGGCATGGGTAAATGATGGATGCAGAGTAATCTGTGCAAGATTAGTGCTGCGACAAATCGCATGGACTTCTCTGCTTCCTGACTAAGATCAGGGCAACGACCACCTGACCTGTTGCTGTTGCTCTGTTGGGTCGCTCATTGCACCGCGCCGCAAAGGAAAGCCGAGCATTGGGCTTTGGACGCTACAATGCCGAAGTTTCCCTCCGCGGGGTTCTTTGCGCTAACAAGTCTTGCAGTGGGAGCTTGACCTCAGTCCATGCGAGTCTATGCATTGCTGTCGGAGAAAACATCCCGTCCGAGCTTTGCGCCCGAGACGTGTAGTTCCCAAGCTCACCACCTGGAGCAAGGGACCAGGCAAGGCTTGACTCTGATGTTATTCAAGACCTTCGCTGTGCCTGAATGGTGTCACGAAGCGACTTTGGGAGATAACGCGCATCAGGTAGGTGCAGCCTCGCTTGGCATGCAAACTGGCTTTCTGGCATGCTTGATGATACTCCGCATGTCCTAGTGCGACTAGGCCCATCGCTGGCACAAAACGTCCACCCCGGCATCTTCAACAACCTGAGACGATCATGCGAACATCTGGTCGTCCGGTTGGAAACACCATGCAGGACATCTTGGTGCCGCGCGAGCTCCTTGACCGCAAGCTTTGATGAAGTGCCCCGAGTTTCCGGATTACTCAAAGGCAGCGTGCCCTGGAGGCGGTGGCTCCATGGCGCCTTTGCTGGGCACATAATGTGTGACTCTGCACACACACAAACACACAGAGCATGCTCGGTGCTTCAGTGGCCGGCCCAACGTTCCACCGTCGTCGGCTCATGTCGCGAGCCTAAACGGCCTCGAGTCCTTCATCTGCCTCTTGCGCAGGAACACACGCCGTTCGTCCCAAGCATGTATGGGACAAGTTGACGCCCACACCTCTCACAGGTCTGCATTGAACTGTATTGTGACACCAGCGTTGCAGCGATCCCGACACGAGTAGCTCCAGATTCTCCCTGCTCATAGACTAGTTACCAGCTAGTTGAAGTCACCCATCCATGCATCTTGCTCAGCAAAGTGGTCTGCAGCAGAGTTGAGAGGCACGACGGAGGACACCTGACGAAGTCGATCACCCGAAGCGACCAGCAAACTTTTTCTGGTGAGGCAACTGCTGGAGCCGTCGTTCGGAGAGGCAAGCGTCAGCACTTCGCGACTTTCTTCGTCGCAGTCAGTTGTTGTTTGGATGCTGGGCTGAGACGTACGGACGAATTTCCTCTTGCTAAGTTTTTTGCCTCCTGCATGGCTGAGTACACGAAGCAGGGCAACAGGTATCTTTTTTGTCACTCGCACTCGACGAATCAGGACATACACCGATATCATCCGATATTCAGGTATATACCTGGTATATATGTATATATATATACATATGTACACACATACATTATACATTTATATATACATATATATATATATATGCTATATGTATTATAAGTCTAACTACATCTTCTTGCGGAGAACTTGTCTGCGGCTCGGCTCAGAAAACTGAAGATCGCCCTTGGCGAGGCATGGACCTGGCGCTCTTCATGCTTGGCTGGGCCTAGGAGGCATGTAAACACCTTCGTAGATATCTAAATATGAGCTGCATGTAATGACTGTGTGTATGAATCTGCAGGTGTGTGTGTGTGTGCGTGTGTGTCGACTGCAGTCCTCGTGTTCATCATCATCATCATCACCATCATCATCATCATTTGGTTCTTGTCATTCGTGATCCTGTGAGCAGCTAGTGCCACTACTATCACTACTACTACTCACTACTGCCACCACATGAGATGTCCTACAAGTACCGGCTACAGGAGGGTGTGCGAAAATGTATTGCAAACGATGCAACTCCCTGTGGCATCTGTGGTTGCAGCTGATTTAGCTCATGTCCAAACGCCAGAGTTCCTCCGTCCTCCGGCACCTCTGCAGAATCTGAAGGCACGTAAGTCGTCATTCAATGCTCCATGCCATCGTGCACTTGCACACCCGCATGCTCTTTTTTGAGGCAGCAGTCGAGGGCCAGAAAATCTTTACAGGGTGCTTGGATTGTGAAAAACCTCTTTGGGATATGCTCGTAGGATAAAGCCAAGTTGCCTGGATCCATCGGGCACATGCAGCTTTGTTCAACTGCCACAGAGGGCTTCCGGAAGGCACTGGACCAAGCCATCTCTGGAGGATTGCGGGACGAATTCAAAGACATCCAACCGGATGTCCAACTCTTTCAAGTCACGCGGAATTAAGGAAATCAAGTGAGCTATCATTTCATCAGACATCTGCTTCAAATTGCTGTGACATCGGTTCTCAATGTGGTTCCGCAAATCAGCATAGGACGCAGGCCGGGAAATCCTCAGCACTGAGGTTGGCATAGAGGCTGCAGAGGCACCACCATCCTTCTCAAATCCGACCGAGTAGTAGAGTCGATTGAAGTCCTGCACCAAGACATGCCAGGCGAGGTCGCACTCATGGGCGCGCACGCACCCACCCACCCACACAAAGTGCGCACACACACACACACACACACAGACCCAGAGACACAGAGACACACAGACACGCAGACACACAGAGACACATACACACGAACACAAACACACGCGCACACACACAAACCCACAAACCCACAAACATATATATATATATATATATATATATATACTATACATATATATATTATATATACACACAACCACACACAAACACACAGACAGACAGACACCCACGTAGACACCCACGCAGTCACACACTCACTCACGGGCCTGTGTTCGACAGAAGTTCCAAGATTCCAACTTCCGATGCAGCTCAACTCTGCATGCATCCTCAAGCAGCCTCTATCAATGAAGTGTATGACACTGTCCGAATGCGTAAGCCAAGCACGCCTACCGCTTGTTTCAAGCTCGCCTTTGCGATGGCGAGTGCAAGGCACCCGTGCACTTTACCCGAAGTAGGTACCCGACATCTCTTTTTACAGCTAGACCCGAAAGGAACCCGATGCATACGTGGTCTAAAAGGAACCCGACGCGTACGTGGCAAGATGCACGTGCTGTCAAGGCGTAGTTTCTAATCCTGGCATGACCGTCGGAGGTCCTCGTTGCCAAAAAGCATGGATGTCTTGGAGAAGCCTCGGTAAGGTTCAGCAGCGGACACATGTCGGGCACGAGACACATGATTCTGCACAAAGCTTCCGAGGGGCTGCACCACATGGCTCGGCCAGTAGGGCACAGTACTCGTGTAAGCTCCTCTCAAAAGCCCTCTTCCAAGCGACTTCACAAACAAAACAACAGGTGTTTTGTGCTTCGTGACTCGTGTCCTTGTCAAGGCTGGCCCTGTCCATGAAGTGCACGGCAAAAGTGGCGACGACTAGGTCGAGGCTTTGCTCTGGCTGGAGACGCAGAAACTCGACACCGTCGCTCTTGACGATCCTCAGTAAGGCATGTGGGCCGAATTGGCAACGCTCTTTCTCCTGTCCCATTCTCACACGACGCACCCTCGACCCAGAAAAACAGCCATGAACAACTTCTGCTTCGCTGCATTGAACTCGGCTCTTCTGCATGCCGGCAGGTTTCATCTGTGAGCAGTTGTCCGGAGGGAATGGATCCTGAGTGTTTCTTGTCAGCCCCTCTAAGTAGACAGGCAAGCTCTCGTCTGCCACCGAATTTCCACGTTGTACATGGTCCGCGCCTGTCGGGATGCCAGGAGAAAGTCACACAGAAAGAAAGGTGCGGGCGCGCGGGAGATACCTTCAGAAGTGGTGTAGCTGGAGTCACACGCCCTCCTCACCTCAGCATTCTGTTCCTTGTGCAGCCCGCTCTGGCCTCCTCCTATGGTGCATGGTGGCTGCCCGGCAAGTGTGCGGCAATAGCAATCTTGGTAAGCCCATTTGTCTGCATCGCAACTCCAGCACTTAGCTACTTCGAGACGCTCGAAAATTTCAATATTCTTTGAACCAGGGCTTTGCAGCTAATACCCTGCTAGTCGGCAAGCGTAACTCCAGACACGGTCATTTTCCACAGTAGGTCAATAGGTGCTGCAAGGTAACAACATTTCGAGTTGCTCCGACACTTCCAAGCAATGCGTATGAAGGTACTTCCAACTTCCTGCGGTGCTGCAACTCAGAGAACTGCCTGGATGTGGCTTGCGACTGTTATCCGGGAGGTTTGTCGGGGGGGAAGGTGCAGCAGCACTGCCGCCCCATCAGGGTGTGTCCAATCCTTCAGAAACAGCTTGGCTTGGTTTCTGTCTCCCTTCTTTCCGGGGAACAGCCCAAACCAGGAAACACATGACAGATCGGATGCCCCGCATGCCAGAAAAAACATCCTTGTCCTGCTGTCCTGCCCCTCTGTTTCCATCAGAGACACCAAACCATTGAAAAAGAACAAAATGCCGTTGTCTGCTTGTACAATCGTGATTCCTGTAGCTCCGGGTTTCGGGCACCTCCCCGGCATCCAAGCAGCGCCCGTCCCGAGTCCCCGTGTATTCTTCCCAGCCTGCAAGAGCTTCCCCAGCGTGCCATCGCCAGCCCCGAGGTCTGCAACGACTTTGCCGTTCGAGTATGGCAGGCAATGGTCTGCGATCCGCTGCCAGATGCCTCTGCACAACTTTTGCTGCAGAGAGATAGTGCCACGGCCAATGCTGCCCGGACACTGGGGTGGTCGGAGACGTTATACCTAGGTAGCATCGATGATATGCAAGGCCACCCAGATCACCCAACTCTCGTAGTCCCAAATCCTGCTGCATGGGGGCTGATGCCTTGGCCTACACGCTGCACACCGTAGCCTGATTTTGTGAAGGGTCTCGTTTGATTTGCTCGCGTTATGGTGCTTCCTTTCCTCCCTCTCCCTCCTTCGCTGGTGTATACTAGCTAGCTTGCAAGCAAACCTGCAATGTCGGACTGACCAGCGCGTGCTCGCTCCTTCGCACAGTATGACCACAGTCTCACCAGCTCTTGTGGAAGCATGGCAGAAACGGCTGGTTGGGATGGTAGTTGCGAATGAGAACGGTGTCGGTATGTTGTAAGTTGTAAATGTAAATGCTCGACACGACGGGGTGGCTGCTATGATTCCATAGAAGTTACGAACCATTTCCTCTTGGAGCCAGGATGCTTCGCATGTGCCTCCGCCGTGGTCGTGTCCCAGGCAGTTCCCAAAGATCCGTGCAGAATTGCCGCTTCATGCAGCTCGGCACTCGTGTGTGTCGTAGCCGCCATAGTTGCAAGGCTCACCTCCGAGTGTTTTGATTAGTGCAATGGCTGCATGAGGGTTCAAAGACAAAGCATGGCAATTAAATCAAGAAAAACCGCTTCCTGCAGCGCAGAAACCCTGCCAGCTCTCACAGCGGACAGATGCTGTGGTGCCCGGTACAGGCTTGAAAGATGAATCCTCCTGAAGGCAGCCCTCATCTGAACGGCTCGCCATTCGGGCCGAGATTCCACACAAAGCGCATGCAGCATGCACCCACACACACACGCACACACAGGCGTTGGTACAGTCATCATCGGTCATGGAAGCAGGCAGGCAGCACCCTATCCGGTCTCCGTCAGGCGAAGCTCGCCTGAAGGACCTTGGGCAATCTTCGAATGACCTGTGTAAAAAAATGCACGGGACTCCCATGCAGCCGAGCCTATGTGACAAAGAGGCGGCGACAAGCGCCATTCACGCCTACACTGGCATAAGGTTTCGGAAGTCTCATCATCAGCAATATCTCCAAACTCACCATGGCCTCTGCCTGGGGTTCCAAGTGTGACGGCTTAAAAGGCCGCCCAAGAAAATGTTGGAATGTTGAAGCCTCGGACAGCAGGTATACAATTACAACCTTGAAGCATGGATAAATGATAGATGCAAATGATACAAATCTGTGCAAGATCGGTGCTGCAACACATCGCACGGACTTCTCTGCTTCCTCGCTAAGGTCAGGGCAACGACCGCCAGCAAGCTTTGACCAGCGGTAGATACTGCAGCCAAACCTCTTGGTGCTGTTGCTTTAGTGGGTTGCACTTTGCACCGCATAGGAAAGCTGAGCATGGGGCTTTGGACGCTACAATGCTGAAGTTTCCCTCCGCAGGGTTCTTTTCGCTGAAGAGTACCTGCTGTGGGAGCTTGACCTCAGTCCATGTCCATGCGAGTCCACGCATTGCTTTCTGAGTAAACACCGAGCTTTCCGCCTGAGCACCCTTAACATCTAGACGTGTAGTTCCCAAGCTCACCACCTGGAGCAAGGGACCAGGCAAGGCTTGACTCTGATGTTATTCACGCCCCTCGCTGTGCCTGAATGGTGTCACGAAGCGACTTTGGGAGATAGTGTGCATCAGGTAGGTGCAGCCTCGTTGTGCATGCATAACGGCTTTCTGGCATACTTAATGATACTCCGAATGTCCTAGTGGGACTAGGCCCATCGCTGGCACCAGACATCTACCCTTGCATCTCCAACAACCTGAGACAATCATGAACACATCAAGTCCCGTTTGGCAACAGCATGCAGGACATCTTGGTGCAGGGCGAGCTTGTTAACCACAAGCTTTGACGAAGCATCCGGAGGTTGCGGATTGCTCAAATGCAGCGCACCCTGCCCGAAAAGGGCTTGGATCCCATGTCATTAGCCTGCATGCTGCTGCACTCAGCCTTCGCCCTGATCAGGACCTGGTCAAATGTGAGGCCACCGATTCCCACTGTAAGGTTTCGCCTGTCGTGGACAGAGCTGTTGAGAAACAAGTTTGTGGTGTGGTTTACTTCCTTCCGCACCTGAGTAGACGCACTTGATCCATCAGTGCACCCATCACAGACACCTGGGACCGGAGCTGTCGTGACAGCTCAGGCACTAACAAGCACATGCTTGGCTTCCAGGGGGCTGGGATCCAAGGACCATACCTCCAAGTGCCCGAATGCGAGCTTCACCTCTCAAAGCTCGTGCGATGCCAGTGGTTCGCAAGTGGGAGCACGAAGGATGCTCAAACTATCGCGGAAGTGTTTCGCGTTATCGCAACCCCACCTCGCGCAAATGCACGTCCATTTCGAGCACATCATCTCTGCGAGAGAACCTTGTGTCACGGGACTGACAGCACAAGACTGCCATACAGGCGGCAGACCGTGCTGATACTAACCTTCGCGGCTGAGATCCATGACGTGCGAAGTGCAGGCTGCGAGGTGCTTTTCAAGACGACATCTTTTCTGGGATGCTGCATGTCCACCTTCAGCCGCATGCGAAAGAATCAATGCCATGCACTCTTCGGCAGTTTCGGGGTAAGGCAGCTGCAAGGGAACCGGACAGTTCGTGTTTATGCACTACTCCCACCTGAATGTCCCAGATCTGAAAATCCACGTCGCGGCATCTGTCAGGCCTGGAAGACCATCCAGCACAAAGGATTGCATGTACATGAATTCAACTTGAGAGGCTGGCGTCTGCGCCACACTGACAACCACGCCCCGCAAGTTTATCGTGAAGACCTGACATCACCCTTACCATCTGAAGCTTCACATGATCTCTGTAGTAACATGGGCTCAACTGAACCGTGCGTGGTTGATAGCAGAAGTGCATTTTCCGCTCCACCGGCATGCCCAAGGGATATCAATGGACGGTCCAGCAAAGGGAGGGCTTCACGCTGTGTCAGCGCTACACAGGCGTAGCAGCTATGCTCTGGAGAGCACCTATCCAAACTCATCCAACATGTTGTCGGCAGCGAGACTCATAGCCTTGGAAGAGGCTTCGCGACGTTCTTTTCGCTTCGCCTGACATGGATAAACAAACCGACTCTAGCTTCGCATCTATCCGCAACTCGCAGTCTTCAAGGAGAGCGAATGCCGCGATGTACTCTGAACGCCTACATCAAGCTTCCGTACAAACCGAATCTCACCTGTCCGAGCCGTCTGAGCATGCCTAACTCCTACTCATCGAACAGTCTCGGGACGGGCCTTGACATCACTCGCCCTTGGCTTTTTGACCTTGTTCAAGGATTTTGCAAACGTCTCCTTCTTTCTTTCAACGATCATCTTTGCTCGTTGGTGAAGGGGAACTTTGTTCACCTCGTATTTCTCGGCTTTGTCATCAGTTGCATGTGCCTGGTAGTCCCGCACAGCATTGAACAGGCGGACAACACCTTGGGTGGCAAACTTACGAAGCTGCGCTTCGAAGTTCTTCTGTGTGATGTCCGGCAAGGAATGACCTCTGTCCTTCTCTGTCCGATTCTCTGCGGATTGAAGCCGTTTGGCTTTCGACTCCTCCTTGCTGGCTTTCAGCTTCTTCTCGATTTCAGTTTCTGCGAGCACGGGCGAGCTGGACTCAAGCTCCCTGCCCAGGATGTTGGCAAAGGCTGTGCAAAAGCCCTTCCAACCAGCTTCCTCGATTTTCCCCGTCTGCAAAGCATCCACGCTTTCAGAGACCGGTTTCTCGGCCTTGCCGGCACTTTCTCTGCGAGGCTTCGACTTCGCCTGCTTCTTCTTCAGGCGCCCAATCCTGTGCATGGCAGGGTGACTCCATGCGAAAATTCATGATGCAGTGCCTGGCCAGCCAAAATAGCAGCGGGGAAAATTTGGATTCACAGTGGAGTTGCAAGAAGAAGTAAGCATAACATCATCACGCTTTGTGAGAAGGCCTCATGTCGCCGTCTCGGCTCGGATGAAGCCTCTGGAAGTACAGAGGCTTGTCAGTCGTGCCCCCTCCGCAACTCCAGGCCGCCGCAGACCACGGAAGCACGCTGAGCTACTGGCAAGCGCAGCTGCGGTACCCCAAACCTGAGATGATTTCGAGAGCATGTTTGGAGAGCGGAGAGATCCGTTGGCGAAAAGAGGCCAGGACGGATGAAGGGGACAGGCTTGCGGAGGGCCCTGGTAAGCAGATGTAAGCAGTACAAGAAAAGCTGGCGCCGTGCATCGAAGGACCCATCATATGCGGGATGACAATACCTGCCGCCTTTTAGAGGTGCAGCTTTCACAGTTGAGAAGTCACACCTGCCTTCCACCACCAGACCCACCTGAGATGCCAATGAAGCCGGACACTGAAAAGCGGGGCTGGATGTTCACAGATGCGTGTAAGTGCTAACTGTCACCAGGCGGTCTAGGATTGAATTGCCTGCAGTGGTTGACTAAGTGTGCATGGTGGAATTCGGATGGAGTATCAAAGCATCAGGCACGAAGCGTGTCGATCTTCAGCTCGCCTGTAAACCTAAGGAAGATGCAAGTGACGAGTGACGAGGCAGTGCTCAGGCCCTGTCATTATTGGAGGCAGTCTGCAATCTGAGCACATGGACGTTCTTAGGACGGTTGCATCTTCGCTCTCCACTTCTTCCCCACCGCTGTCCTGTGATAACGAAGGCTCCCGGGTCTGGATGCAGGATCACTGGAGTGAGTCTAATGTGCCTCGACCTGTCGTGGAACCGGGGCCTGCAGGAAGCTGGTAAGCTGCAGATCAACAAGAATCTTGCGGATTCTCAGGCCAAGACAAAAGAGGCCGGCTTGTCAGGCATGACGGTGACCTGGCTGCATGCGTCCCAGCTGGCACTGGAAACTGAAGCTGTCTTCGGGTTACTGCAAAGCAACGGCGAGATCCACCACAGCCACACGATCATGTATAGCAACGACCACAGTTGCGTTCACCTCGGCACGGTATAGATTGATTTCCCGGTTGCGGTTTCGATCGGGGGCTGTCACGTCTTCAGGCACTTGGCTTAGATAGCCACGGACCACACCGCAGCTGTTGTACCACGGTCACCAGATAATGCAACTAGCGACTACATTTGCCGCAGTTTCAAGCGTAAACTGACAACATGAATCAACGGCCCTTGCTGTCTTCCTGCACAGCTGCGGCACTTTCGTGCAGAGCTGGCCCGACTCGAGGCCTAAGGCCCAGGCACGGAGGGTGGATTTTGTCCTGTTCGGAAAGATGGCGAGATCTGAGCGTTGGGTCGCACTTGCTTCCAGGTGATGTTTGTCGGCGGCTTTGTCCTCTTTTGAGCTTGAGCATGTGCAGCATGTGCCTCAGTGTCAGTATTGGCAAAATCTCATGACGAGGTCTAGGTCGTCCGAGATGTCCGCGCCAGAAGTACTGCCAGACCTGATCTTTTTCTGACTGTTCTGCTCTGAGAAAGCAGGTCGGCGTCACTTCGGAATGCGGCCAGCGCGGAACTTTTCGCACGCCACTGCGATTCAGATCGACCAGCACTGTAGCCTCAGCTGGCAAAGTGTTATCACACACTACGTGTACTTCTGGGTACCGACAAGGATTGGGGCCGTCGCACGTTCCCCAACATCCGATGCACGCTGCACCGTGAGGCGGAGCCTTCGCAAAGGCAACAAACACGCAAGATGCTGCGCAAACCCGTGGAAGTCTCAGCATGCCATCAAAGCCCTCGACCGCGGGACATTTCCCGCCGGTGGTCCTGCCGTGCTGAACTCCGCGTTCTCTCTAGCACTCCAGTGCTGCCCTTGGCCTTTGACCCAAGCACAAGGCAAGAAACAGTTTCCAAGGCCTCTGCCCCCGATGGGCAGTTGCTCCCCCGAGGCCTTAAAGGTGCCGTAAAACAGTGGAGAAAGCAATCAGGCTGCGCCCTTCGTACTCCTCAGGCGTCTGCCAAACTGAAGGTGTATGCTGGGTCCTGCAGCCCATCAGACGATTGGGATCGTTTCCATATGCCCTAGCTGGATTTCCCTCTGCTCTCCAAGACAAAGTCTTGAAAACCCCTCCCCAATGTCTCGAGTCCCTTTGACACTTTGTCCGTGTCCCTCAATGCACCGAACAGTAACATCTTGATCGGTCAAGTGCTTCAAACAGCCGCGGGTCGGCACTCGTCCGCAATCCTCGCCAACGCCTTCCATGCTGGCATGCAGCTGAACCTCAGAGTGGGACTTGAGCGAAGCATGACAACTGATGCTAGCGGCTGATCCTACGAGGCTTGGGCGCGTGCCTCAGGATGCTTGTTAACAAGCATGTGGCAAAACCCACTGTCTTTGATTGTGACCTTTGCAGGTTTCAGAGGCCACGCCTTCACATGGAGGACTACGAAGAAAACCGTCGAAGGCAGGGCGGGCAGCAAAGCAGTGGCCTTTTTTCTGACCAGTGGAAACGTAAGTCGAAGAGGATAGCTAAAAGCGCATGCCGCTCTGCATGAAGGCTGCGATCGTGCTCGACGAAAATTGGGATCAACCTTGCGTGAAGAGCATTCTCCACGGCCTCGCCTCGGTGTCCCAGACTTCGCTGGCGAACTGTTTGAGGACAGATCGAATGTGCCGCCGATGCTGTTACCAGGCGGGCGGACGCCTGCTGGGTCTGGGTTGCCCCTGGCCCTGGCGGCTGACTGACTCTTCGTGTCTCCCGGCGAACCATGGGCAGCCAGAAGGCAGATCCATGGGCAGTCAAGCGAAGTGTTGACAATGCGGCGCCAGTAAAGTGAGCACCGAAACTATGCACTTGCAACTCCGGTGGAGACACGTCGAGTTTGGACCTGTGCATGGTAGAAAGTATGGGCATGGCTGGGGCCAGCACCAACCGGTACAACATCTGGGAAACCTTGACGTGCAGCTTGTCTGCGTGCAGTAGGTCGTCCATGCAAGCCATAGCTTGGCTTCGGGATTCGCACAAAGCAGCCTTGCTACCTAGCTCATCCAGAAGAGGAGCTACCCGGGTCCAACACGAAGCCTCTTCAAACATCGCAAGCAGCCCCATTGCCGTGATGGCGTCTGGTTGCTGACGCTGCAAGAGCTGGGACGTAACCGTAATGGCACGCACCCAATCCTGTGTGTTCAAGCCTGGGAGCGCAGAGTTGACGGAAGTGAGGTCGGGCTCGAGGCCATTCTGTGCTATGCGCACCAGGTTGTAAAGAGCTACGTGCCAATCCGAAGATTTTGCTGCTGCATCAATAAGGGAATTCATGGCCGCGAGAGACATGCATCCTGGTGCTTGCATACCGTGCAAGAGACTAGCACAAGATGGCCACTGGTGACCTTTGGAGCAGGAGCCAACCGCTGCACCCAACGTGACTTCCGCCAGCTGCCCAGTCCAGTCGGACAGAAAACGCAAGGAGCTTTGCCAGAAATCTGCTCGATCACAGAGGGATAGGACAACAGACAGTGACGCAGTGTCGAGCTGGACGGTGTCCTTCTGCGCCCGTCTGCACAGAGCCAAGGCTTGCTTCCGTCGGCCGGCCGCCTGCAAGGATGCCATGGCATTGGCCAAAACGGAAGAGCTCAGCATTTCAGACCTCTGCAAGAATGAGAACAGCACCAATGCCCTGCTCCAATTCTGGCACTCACCTAAGCTTTGAAACAGCGCAGCAGACAGTGACAAATAAGACGGGGAATGCAGGGCCTGTAAGGCGTTCAGTGTCACCAGCTGCGGAAGTGCCTGCACGCCCTGCAGCCAGGCTTGTGACGGCACAGCACTGAGAAGGGATGCATAATTTCTCAAATCTGGCCGCAAAGAATCCCGCACAGCAGCTTCCAGAACCAGAGTCCCTGCTCTCCAAGGGTTACCCGCTAGGCCGCGCAGTGCTGTGCTGCAGGCTGCTGCATCGATTTTTCGGCTGCGCCGGGAGAGCAGAACCAGAAGCACGGGCCACTGACCGCCTGTGGCTGCTGCGTCCACCGTCGCACCAAAAGTTGCTACGTCTGGTTTTAGACTGGACTTGGCTGCCGCGCGTAAGGTCCCCAACGCCTCCGTCCACTTGCTCGCGCTTGCCAAGCCGCTGAGGTTCACATTCCAACAAACAATATCACTCCTGAGGCCAGACTCAGCAAGAAGGCCTGAAAGCCCCAAGGCTTGTTTCCAGATGGACGCTTTCTCACAAGCACTTGCGGCCGCGGAGCAAGCTCCCAGGTCTCTCTCAAAGCTAGACATGATGTAAACAGCTCGGCTCCACAGCATCTCTCGCCCGAACGCATTGACGAGAGAGGTCAATGGCATGGCCTGTTCACTACATCTCCACGACCGCAGGAACTGAAGAAGCGCAGCACATTCCTCCCAAATCCCGCTCCGAACAAGGGTGCCAGCAACGAGCTTGAAGGTCACACGGTCAGTTGTCTGGGACGACGTCTCTGCCACGGAATGCAATGAAAGAGCCCACGGTTGCTTCGACGTGGCGGTTAAGTGCGCGTTACATACCTGTGTTGTTGGCTGCACTCCATTTGCTAAACATAAATCGGCAAGTATGATCCTCGACAGACGCCAGTTGCTCCTGCACCCTGAGAGAACGCTGGTTAATGTGAAGCAATCCAGCTTCAACGTGGAGCAAGAAGCTGACTTCAAAAGTGCCAACCCTGCCCTCCAAAAGCCTTTTCTGCTTGATCCAATACAGGTGTTGAGACTGACAATGTCCGGTCGTGTAACGTCCGTGCACATCATAACCAACAGAGATAAGGCCACGGACCACGACAATCCTTTCTGGCAAGCTGCCATTCCAGCATTACAACAAATCGTGCTTGGATGGAGTCTGGATCTCCGGCTATGGCAGAGGAGGAGGACAGCATCATGCCAAAGACTTTGCGCAGAAAGTGCACCGATCGCCGATGTTAGACGCCAAGGCTCCAATATCGGGTCTCTCTTCAAGCTTCCGGCTGACATTCGGGCATCTTCTTTCCAAGCTGCCTGGTTTCGCAGGACGGGCAAAACCAAGTTTGCTGCTGATGTCATCGGACGCAGGTAAAGTTGCGAAGCCGGACAGTACTGCCCTCTGGATGTGTGTCGCCACCCACACCTGAGGCGACCATCTGTTGCAGTTGCGCCTATCAGCCATCACAGGCCGCGACTGATGCAGCGAACCCGAACGCTCTGTCCAGGCCGAACTCACCCGGCTACATTGCGGCATTCCACACGGCGTGACATGAGGAATCGGAGCACTCGCGGCTTGGCAAGGTCAGTATCTTTCCAACGATGCCAGTAAACTTTGATACAAGAGTTGAGCTGCCCGGCAGCCCAGCTTGCAGCATCGAAGTCGATGCACACGCAGAGCAGGAAGCGAGACCTGGTTCCGCCACTGGCACGACTTGTAACCTTTTCATGACGCATCAGTAAGTCGGTGCCCATGCCCCTTCAACCAAGTGTGTGGACCCAGTGCACTCTTGAACTGAGGGGCCGGCTGCGCCTGTGCTTTCAAGGTGACGGGGTAGGCGCCTCATCGACAGGGCGAGTGGGGACTTTGAAGTGAGCGGTCCCAGCATAGCACCAGGGCAAAGTGCCTATTCTGGACTCTTTCAGCTCAAAGGGCTGGCACCTGCCAGCGAGCGGGCATACGAACGCAGGCGCCTGACGGAAGAAGGTTCCGGGCCACGAGGTCCGAGAGCCCTGGTGTTTCACAGCCACCTCCCGACACTTGCAACTTGAAGCAAGCTCCCCACAGATCCCAGCAGCCTGAAGGAGCTGGTCACTCAGGCTGGTCCACCAGAGAGCTCGACTGGTGCCAGCGGAGACCCAGACCTCTGCAAGTCTCAGAGGTCGGAAGCCACTGGTCAGTAGACTCCCTCAAGACCACTTCCTTAGTGGTTCCCTTCTCTGGACCGCATCAAGCTCGCTCGCACCCTTCGTTGCTTCCCTGAAGGACTCCGATTCGCGATATGACTCACTAGCCCAAAACCCAAAGAAATAAAAGTTGAAACTTTCAGAATCGACTACCTTATAAGAACCCCAAGAGTTGAAAAGTCGAGTTTACAGCCAATAAGATGAGTCCAAGGCTGCTGTTTCTGAGGGACATCCACATTGCTTGAAGCCAACCTCGCCCGAAAGCCCGAAGGCCAAAGAAGAAGATACACAGCTGTTCGAGCGCACTGAAGGCACGCAGAGCACGTCATCCTTTCTTCTGCTGCCAGTCTTCTTAAGTTGATTGGAGCTGTCAGGAAGGCGGCAGCAAATGCTGCCCTCAGAGCTCCTTAGCTCAGCGGCATCGCTCGGTCTCAGTCTAATCAAGGACTTTCGCACCATCGATCAGTCCGGGGCACCTTCTCCTTCTTGCTTGCCTTGTCCGCCCTCTTTTGCAGCAGCTTCAAAGTTGCGGGATTTTTTTGAGCCATGTCCAACGGCTTCTGCCTCTGACAAGGAAGGAGTGCTGGTAACCCACTCGAAAAATTACTGCCGGCTTCCATAGCTTTGCAGCAGACAAGCACACCTCACTGACCCAACTCGTCTAACATCTGAACTTCAACTGAGGTCCCGGCCCATTGCTCGCGGCTTCATCGAAAGGTACACCCGCTTTCAGAAAGACCCTCACTGTATCGGCGTGGCGCTGTTCCGTGCCCCAGCATGCTCTGTGCATTGGAGTGAAGCCATCTTTGTGCCTCTCGCTGGGGTCAAGACCATGGGCAATCAACATCTTCGCAATCTCTGCCCTTCCCTGGAAACCTGCCCCATGCATGGGAGTGTATCCATCTTTTTCAGGGACGGAGGTATCGGCACGTTGCTCCAGCAAAAACTTGACTGCATTCGCATTGCCAGTCAGCACCGCGTGCATTAATGGACTTTGACCTCCTGGGCCCAGTAGGTTAATGTCTTCTCCAGATGACAGCGCTTCCTGGATCTTTGTCGGATCATTCGAACGGACCGCGGCATGAATGTCGGCAGCAACCCGCTGCAACAGCAACACTGCAAACACGCAAACTCCCACCATGGCACTTCTGCATGGACCAGGCCGGACAAAGCACAGCTACTCCTCCCTTCTCTTGAGCTTGAGAAGCGAGTAAACGCGAGGAGCAGCTTAGTGGTACCGTGCTCCTGCGCTCAACTGACAGCTGCCGACGCATCGCCTCCAGCTTCTCTGTGTGGTTAAATAGCCTTGGGAGAAGCGGGGCGTGGGTGCACAGAAACGAGCCTAATGCCGACTGTGCTGCTAAGGGACATCATTGCTGGCAGCAGGCTAACCAGGCAGCTGGGAACGCCTCGCATCGCCTGGTGCAGGCCAAAGCGCCATCTGAGGACTGAGGGCTTGGCAAGACTTGGCAAGGCAGCCTCCGGAAGCGCCACCGTTTCCGTTCTGAGGCAGCAAGGATGGAGCGGCCTAGCAGGCTCGCCGCGTACTTCCGCAGCTGCTCTGTATAGGGGGCCTACTCTTTCTTCTGAGGGCAAGACGTCACAGCCACAGCGACTGCTCCACCAACCTCACAGCCATGAAACTAATTACGACTAAGGACTGTTGGACTGCGAGCTCGAGCAATGGTCGGCTGTGCGACTGACATCTGGCACGTTGGCCTCAGCGCCGCCATGATCAGGACGCACGGACGCACTTCAAGGGCTAGCGCAAGCGGCGCGAGCCTCCATGGGCGCATGAGATTTGAGCCCAACGAAGGCAACGCCGTCTCCAGCATCGTTGCGGATCTCTGGCAGGATGGACACCTGCAGATTTCAGAAGAGACCCTATCTTTCTTGCTCCATCTTTCAGCCCAAAAATGCACGAATTAGGCATCCTGCCTAAACCTATGTCCGTCTCAAGACATACCCAGGAACCGGTGCAGCAAGTCTACTTGCGGCACACCGCGAAACACGCCAGGAAGCGCTACGACATGTGAGCAGTATCACCCGAAGCTCAAGTGGGCTGGGATTCCGGAAGCTGGGAACGGGTAGGATCAATTCGAAGCTGGAATTCTGATTGTTTGCCCTCGCTTTGTGCCCGGGGACTTCAAAAACCCGACTCTTCAAGGCATTTTTCATGGGCAGAGCATCACGCCGGCCGGGTGCTAGGCGCCACCAGTCCAGCTGCCGCAATAAGAAAAGCCACCTCCTCTGTCGCCTTGTGCAACTCGAGAGGGACAGAAGCCTGACCTAGGACCGCTTCAAGGTTGATGATGGAGCTATTCCACATCACACTGCCACAAGTCATTGAGTCGTTTAGGGTTCTGGTCGTCTCCGGTGAGCCCACCAAAGACATAGAAACGTCCTGTCAATCCTTTGATCGCCTCTCCAGCAGCTCCGTCTGCCCATCCTCTCTCCACTGGCCACCCGGAAGAGGACGGAATGCTGCTCAACAGGGCACCAGTAGTGCCATCGAGAACGGCAACATCATTTTCGAAGCCACCCGCCCCTTCATGTCCTAGATCTGAAGGGTTGACCTCCCCTCCAAATATGAGGGCCTTGTCCCCTGGAAGCGAAATTGGAATGCACACGCTACGGGGGCGAAGATCTGTAAGCCCCTCTAAAGCGCTAGCCTCCCATGCCCCTTGCTTCAGATCATATGCATGGCCGTCGTTAGTTTCTTCGCCTGCGAATCCAGCAATAACTGCAAGCCGGTCAGACTTCAAATGGAGCAGATTTGGCCCACCCCTGCCTCGCAAGAGCTTTGATTTTCCAAGATTGTGCCAAGTTTTCTTGACTGTGTCGAATTTGTGCAGATCGGCCAGTCGTCCACTCGTCCCGCAGCCGCCAAACACATAGAGATCACTACTCACTGCAATCATTCGGTGAAAGGACCTGGGCTCCGGAGGGTCGTCACTCCCTGCAGCAAGCTGCACCTGCGACCAGGATTCCTTCCCTGGTTCACAATGGCAGTCTAGGACCCAAAGATCATTCAGCGGCTTCTCATCCATGGCGATGCCACATCTTCCGCCAAAGATGTAGACGCTAGAACCCACCGCTGCTTGGGCATGTGCCACTCGCGGCGCCGGACCGTCACAACTCAAGGCCCTCCAGCTCCAGGAATCACCCTGCACATCTGCTGCCCACAGAGCCTGAGATGGATCTACGGATGTCCGAGCGATGTTCTCACCACCATAAACGATAAGCCTGGATCCTGCTTCGTTCTGGATAAAGGAAATGCCATGCGAGCTTCTTTCGCAAGGGGTGCCCTTTGCTGCATCAGGTCTTGGGCTGAGTTGCTTCCATGTCAGCCGGGTCGGAGGCACCATGTGCGCCATGGTCCTTGCCGCGCGGAACATCCCACGTCCAGATCGCACCACAGGCCGCGGCAACATGTCCAGGGCCCGGAAAGCGAACGGTAAACAATGCTCGATCTGAGCTCAACATCTGCAGGTCAGACATGGGTTAGCTGTAGGTCTTCCAGTGTCTCCGAAGCAGAGACCACAAGCTTACATTCCACTCCAGAAGTTTTGAACACGAGGCACGGTTTCACAAATTCACCTGGACACAAAGTGTCCCCGGATAGCATCATCCAGCCTTTAAATGGGTTTCATTCACATGATAACACTGTACGTGCCCATGTCCAGAAACAGGCCCGGGCTTACATGTACACGCAGTTCGGCATCCATGGAATCGCCACTTCTTTTAAATCTTTTAAGGCTTTAAATCCCGAAGCCCAAACGAAGGAAGCCCACAAACAGTCACTCCCAACCCCCCCCCCCCCCCAAAAAAAAAAAAACAAAAACCTCAGACATTTTCTAACCCTAGCGTCCTAAAAATCGAAGGCTCTCTGCCAGGCCTTGCTTCCAAAGGCAGCCACCGGATGCATGGGGCCAGGCCCTCCAGGTTGCAAGAGCCGGACATCCAAGCCTCACCAATCACCAAACTTGGGGCAAGAAAGCCCAAAGAAGGTAAAAGGCTGTAGGCTTTCAGCAGTCACAACGAGGCGAGCAGGCGAGGGATTTCGGTTTAGGGGTTTAGGGTTTAGGTGGTTTTTTGACGCTCACACTCGGCAATACCAGGTCTGTAGAGAGACTGAGGCTGAAAGGTCTCGTGAGGCTTTACCACGGCTGCACCAGCTTGGTTTTGCAAACTCAATGCCACTTCCAGGTCTTACGTAAGCCACACCCAAGTATCAACTCATATGCTTCGAGCCGACATGACAGCAGACCTTCCCGATACCAATCGCTCCTAGGGTCCGAGACAGAGCATACTCACCCAGACCTCCAAGTTCCGGTATCAGCATAGGCCCCGTGAGACTCGTGTTTAGGGTTGTTCGGGTTTGGGGGTGTCGGGTTTTGTTCTTTTCCCTCCTACCTAGCAAGGACGAGGCCCGCATTTGCAGGGTACTTGGCTGGAACATCGGGCTACGGTTAAAGCTTCATAGCCAATTGTATCCCGGATTTCAGAGTGGCTTGCTGACTCTGGATCCCAGGCAACAGCCCATGTTGGGCTGACAGAACTCTGCGAGTTGGTCTGTTTAACAGTCATTCGTGCCCAGGTGTTTAGGGTTAAACGAACATATGATGATCTACTGCTGCATCCCTATTGTCATGCTTTCCTTATAGACTTATCAGCGAAGCAGTATTTAGACATCGCATGTTATGGCATGGCAGCTCATATTCTAGATACAGCCGGCTAACATACGAGTCGTACTGATGTCTTGCATCTAAGCTTAGGTTATTGTGAACATGTCTCAATGTATAAATAATCTAGGCCTACTCGGGAATGATTGCTTCAAGACATATCGCCCTGGTCTGCGAGCCTGTGGAGTTGACGAACCACCAGGAGGTGTAGACCTGGGATCACAAAGTCGGAGGCCAGAACTTTGTATTTCCCGAACTACGCCGCTTCACGGCCGTCTAGTTTTCACTTCCTGCAGAAAGCGTGCCGACAGTAAAAAACTGAATGTGCATCTCCGACTGATTTTACAGAAGCCCAGACTGCACAACCAGAAAGCGGGCCTTGCCTAAGTCGAATTGGGCATGCGCAGGCCTACGTACTAATTACATGCACGTTGTTCTCCCACTCATGGCGAGCTTTCGTCAAGCAAAGTCGATCCAACTTTTGGTGTGACCCATCCTGCGCAAAGCAACAGTATGCCACACACACCCCCCGGTAGCTTGGCTTATCAGTCTTTATGGCACTGTCAGTACTGAGAAACCTGATGTCTCAGGCTTAAAGATTTACCAAGTCAACCGAGTGTTGATTTCCATCCCAGTCTTTCGCTTGTAGTCCATGACCTCATCCGGGAAGATGCTGAGCTCACTGGTCGACTTAAACCGCTTCGCCGGCGGCAGGCCGACCTCTTGAAACAGCGCATCCGGAAAAAGCTCCTGGGGAAAGCATGTGGTATGTGCTGTCCGGGTGAGGCATCTGCCATGAAGCTACGACCCTCCAAACAATCGAAGGCCTGCATGTCGCAGGGAGGCACGGCACCGAAGATCGTATCTGGGTCCAGCGTTGCCTGGTACAGTTGGTACAGCCGGCGAGTCAACCACTCTCTCTCTCTCTCTCTCTCTCTCTCTCTCCCATCCAGGCCTGCTTCTGCACAGCCTCCAGATAGTCACCAGCCCACTGGGGCTGGAAGCCTTCCTCGCCCGGGCCAGCAAGCAGGGGATCGACTGCACGTAGCGGGACTGGGATCCTCGGCTGTGCTTGTGCCCGGAAAGGGAGATGAATGGACCCATGCTCGAGGCGAGGCACCGCTTCAGCATCGCGGCAGGATCGACCGGAGCCGAAGGTCTTTTGTTCGAAGGCTGAGGTTTTCCAAAGCCAAGCTTGGACGAACTTGTGGAACAGCTAGAGCATGAAGGACATGCCTGCAGGACTTCGTTGCTGTGCTGTTTCTGGCTTTAACCGTGGCTGGTCAAGCTGACTTGATTTGTGCCTGCTCCTGCAGTCGCCTCACCTGTCATGCCACTGACAAACAGCAGAGACAGACTAAGGAGGCCCTTGGTCTGTTTGGATCTCTGAGGCACCTGTTGTCGGAGGCGCTGGGTTTCTGCCTCTGCCAGGGCCTTGGCAGCCTCTGCTCGCTCCGCACGAAGCCGCAGTTGCCGACCTGCGCACGTCTCTGTCTCTCGCATCCACTGAAGCGCGCAAGACCAAGACCATGAAAAATGCAAGGCAGGTAGGGGAAGGTCAAGATGGATGTCGGCGTCGGCCTTGCAACTGCAAGCCCGCAGCTTTGACCAGGGTTGCCTGCGGCCCAGAGAGTTGTTGTCTAGAAGGTAAATGAAGCAAAGCTCGCGATCTGGGCGTGGGCCTTCTGAGTCGAAACGAAACGAAGTCTGAGAGTTTTTGAGGTCTTGCCTCCTGAACCCCTCTGGATTGAAATCTCCAAAATCAGACAAATCCCATGGAGCCGTGGAAGAGCTTATTTAGTTGCTACTTACCTGTTGCTTTTCGACCGGGGGTATGACCGAGGGTTTAGGGCCCAGAAGCCTGAAGTTCTGGGCAATGCAACTGAAGGTACTCCATTTGGAATGCTCAGAGCAGCAACAACTCTTCTAACAATTGACACCCCGACTTTTGCAGGAATTTCGTCATTGTGGCTCAACTTCCGTCGGTTGGAAGAAGTTCAGAGTGTTTCTAGCGTCTTCCAGACATGCGCCAACCGCTTCAGGAGGTGGTCCACGAGAAGTTGCGAACGAAAGTTGGGGAATTCCAAGCACTTGTAGGCCTCCAGGGTGCGCTTCAACCTTGCTGGACAGCACTGAACTCAACTCACTGCTCATTTTACATGTCTGTCGCATCTCGTGTCTGTGTGTGCCGCCAAGATTCGACTTTACCTCAGTCTGGCTCTCCATGGCCCGCCCATTCCAGCTGTGATCCAAATTGGCACATTCATTCAACTGAGAGCTGCTTTACGAATCTGCAGGATGTTTTGATCCACATGCTGGCCTGCTGCGAATCGGAGTCCCGTTGAACGCCCCTCATCGACCAACCGTTCACTGTGGCTCCTGCGATCAATTCTCGGCCGTTCCGCATGGCATTGAGGTTGATCCACCTGATTCGAGTGGCCACAACGCATGAAAGCACACAAACGTCTGACTGTTCAAGGAGGGAATGTGAGGCCGCAGCATTCCCCTGAATTCGAGCTGCACCTGAGCTTCCGAGGTCGTCCGGGATCTGCGATTAGTCGAAGCATTGCTCGGTGAACTGCAACTTCAGTGGAAGAAGTTCGTTGCTGCACTGCTCGCAACGGCAACGACCTGTCATGATTTGTGGCCTCATAGAAAGTAGGAAAAGCCTCACACGTATTTTCATCTACTTTCCACTGCTGAATCTGGCTCGGGGTGCCATGAGCTGGCGTGCCCGTGAATGTCCCGCACTGCGAAAGATACGCTCAAGTCCTGCCAAAACTTCAAGCAACCCGATTGCCGTACGAATCGAGCAAAGGCTTTCCTCAGCCACGAACTCGAAGGCAGGAAGCATGCTCCTACCGCAGAGCTGCTTCACATTAAACTCAGTCTTCAAACGCGGCCCAGGGTTGACGTGTACCGGGAGCGGCACTGTGGTGCAATCCGCAGCTGTGGCACTGTTGGGTCTTGTGCGTCTTGGTACAAGTGCCAACCGTGTAATGTGCATCATGAAGCTCACGACACTGAGGATTGAACTCATCTTGGCTTCAAAGCAGTGAAATTCCACTTCCACTTCACTCCTCCTGAATCAGGGTTCTCAGACCCAAAAGAGATGAGAAAGGTTGCTTGAGATGTGATTTACGGGGTAAACCCCGAACAGTGACGGAGCACCTCGCAGTTCAAGTCCTTTATGCCGAAGAGCCATTACATGAGCACGCTTGAGTCTCACGAGACCACCCCAATGAGTCCAAACTGCTCAGTGCACTTTGGGCTCCCGGTGTACCCTTTTGCCAGAACCACGTAGTGTTGCCACTCTGTTTGGACTTAGCCGGGTCTGCGTCCTGCAGTTGAGAACTGCGACCACCGCATTGAGGTCTCGGAAAGCCAATCAAAATCACTTGACCGTCTCAGAAACCAACGGAGCTAGCTTGCTAGTCCAACAAGGCACAGGCTTTGCCACCGGAGCTTTGTACGGCCTTCCTGTCCATTGCATGTCCACCTGTCCAGTATGCCATGCAGTGCATACGCAGGGCTCTGGCTTCCAGCCGGGCCTGAGACAGTTATCATCATCAAGACCTGAAGCCAAACACGTCGTCAAAACGATGCCTATTGGAGCAAGGGGTACAGTTGCACATGTTCTCAGCAACAAACGAACGGGCATGATCTCCATTTGGCCGTTCCTTGGCACCAGCACCTGTGCACAATCAAGCCATGTTTGATTACTGTACTCAAATGCACCTTCCCCTCTCTGTCTGCCGTCTGAAGAGTCGTAGATAGCGATATTAACTTTTTCGCTGGACATCCTCACAAGCGCCCAGCCTCATTTCCAAAGCCATCATCAACTATGAGCTCAATTTTGGGTTTGGTGCCGGACCTGACAGCACGAGTCCCAACTGGAGTGCTCCAACCACACAGCAGCAATCGAGTCCCGCACACTGGGACTTTCTCGCGCTCCTGGAAGACTGGATCACTGCTTCATCTGCGCTAGAAGGCACAGCATCGCAACGATGCCTTGCCCAGTTTCCTTCGTGCGACCGGCGGGTTGAACCTCGGCCCACCCCATATTCGAAAGTCAGAGGGGCATTGAAGAGCATGAACAAGCTGAGACGGCGACTGGCACAACACATCGCAGGGACAGGCGTTGACAACCGTGAACGGCGCATAAACCTTCCGGGAGTCACTTCGCGTATCTTCTTGTGCTGGGTTGTGCTACAGAAGTTAAAGCCTCGACGTTGCACCACCCTTCTTGCGGGAGCACACCCCCGCAGCTTGTCCGAAGTGAGAGCCAGTTCTGCGGGAGCACCTTGGCCAGACCCAACCAAACCCGACCGAATCCACCAACCGACCAACCAAACAAACAAAACTGCAAACCACACGCGCAAAGGCGAAGGCAATGACTGCCGACTGACCGCCGGAGTTTAATTGAGATCCTGACATCCTGCATATGCGCGGGCCTCAGCGCAAATCGTCTGAAGAAGAATATGAATTGTCCGCATGTAGTGTTTCCTGAGAAATGGCTCAAGACTTCGGCGGAGCGGAACAAAGCGTGGTGTCATTGGGATTGGCCACCTTGTTGTCACAAGCCAAGAAGGAAAAGGGCGTGAATGCCTGGCACCTTTCGGAGACTTGAAGTGTTGTGAGAATCTCAGCGATCAGCTGGAACTGCGAAGAACTGCTCAGACCTTGTCATTAGGGCAGTCACTCGGGGCAGTGAAATCGACAAACTTACTGAGTTGCCTGCCAGTTGTAAGCAACGCCGCCTCCAGCTTCAAACGCCGGGCGGATCTGCAGAACTGCCTGGCCCAAGACGAGTGGAGTACTGACAATGAGTGTGAAGCTGTGGGCCCCTGCCTGGCCCATGCGCAGCTGTGCCAAGGTAGGAGCTGAAAGCAACTGACCCGCTCCTTATCGTTTGAACACCAAGTGGACCAAGACCCAGGCCCGGCCAGGCCCTGCCACACGGTGAGGACCCGGCTGAGACGCACTGCAGCCTCGTTTCCTTGTGGAATGTCCTTCGCGCTTGGGCCGGATGTCACAGGGACGGAGCATACGGGGCATTCTGTCTGTCGGCCAAGTGGCTTCGGAAATGGATGCCGCAGGTGGAGACTCTGCAGAAACCTGTTTCTGAAAGCTGTGCTTGCGAGACAAGCATGCGGCTACCGATGGCATGGCACCGAGGTGGAAGCACAAGTCTGTGGAGACACACCCTCTGTCAACCTCATTGAACCGTTGAGTGACCATAAAGAGCCTGCAGCCATGCAGCGACGCTTCTTAATGCTCTCTGGGACGATGACAGCCGCGCATCAGTGCCTGAGCATGTCAGACTGGACCCGGCTGGGGGATGGTGAGCCCTTCTTACATAGGACCTGGTCACTCAGCTGTACTTCAGCTGGCCGGTGCATTTTCCATCGTTTTTGGGAGATATGTGCGCCGAAGGTTCAAGCAGGCTCTCGACATCAAGAGCAACGGCAACGGAACACATTGTCAGGCGACAACAGGAAGTGAAGATGTATGGTCATGAAGGAGGTGCGGGAACCTTTTTCTGTTTCAGAAGGCCTCAATGCAGATTCTCAGTCACGGCCGTCGCGGCCAGCCAATAAATACAAGTGGAAGGGCAATCTGGGCCTCCGACAGATATGAACAGACTCGGGGACGATGGGGTTGAAGCCCTTCCTAAGCGAACGACATTGATCAGATCGTTCCTGTCATCCCAGAGCCTCTCAAGATGCAATATGTGTTTATGTACACAGAAATCATCAGAACACAAACAGAGAATGAATACCAGTATGTAAGTATATGTATACTGTATATATATATATATATATATACATATACGTACATATGCAGCCCGTGACTGCAAGAACTCGCTTCGCAACCGCAGTATCCGTAAAGCCTGACCCTTCCACGGATTAATGGAGCTCCGCCAGGCGGTGACTGGCGCAAACACACACGCACAATATATATATATATATATATATATCTATATATATATATGTACATAATATATAGATATTTTGGGCTCAAAGATGTATATATATATATATATATATATATATATATATATGTATACACCAGCTGCATATCTATCTATCTAGAATCTATACGGTGCCGGTGCCGTACTCTTCCGTGGCACGCCCTGCAATCACCAGACTTCGAGGCTTCTGAGTCCCAAGCTCCGTAGTCTCCTCCGGAAGACCCGGGGCCTGGCAGAAAGCAGAGACTCAAAAGAGAGCTGAGGGCTCTAAACTTGAGACTCTTTGGAGACTCTTTGGGAGGGGTGATGTTCAAGATGCTGCGGTAGACTTCGGTATGCAAAGTCAAGAAGTCCAGAACTTACCCCACCACATCGAACGCAGCCAGACAACTGGGACTCAAGCTAGAAAGCGTATCTCCAGGTCTGCAGGCGTTTTATTCCAAACCTCAGCGTGATCGAAAACTCATTGACACGAACCGTCCTCTCGCTGAGGACGGCGGTTGCTCAGTACCCTGACACACACGGTGGAGGTGATCAGCAAGACCTGGCACGGGATTGACTGGCACAAGCCCAAAACCATGTCACAGAAAACTTCGACATGTAAACTGTAAAACCATGAAGTTGGCTTAATTCTGCTATACTGCATCAGGCTGTCTAGTTTCGGCTTCTGCTGAGCTGATCTGAGTTGTCAACCAGCTGTGGTGGTCTTGGCATCACAAGTCGGCACCTTCCACGCGAATCAAAGTGACGTGAATGCCAGCACCTCAGCCATCTCCTTCAACCCAGCCGGGTCCGCATGAGGAAGCCCGCTGTCTTCGTGTCCCATGTCACATCCACCTACAACAAAGCAAGCACGTACTTCCCACGACGCTGCAGGGGTGTGACTCTGCCAGACTATGTAAGATGCAAACTTCGCGTCCGTACTGCAGCCGGCATGGCTCCGCATCCTCAAAGGACCGCGATTGGAGCAAAGGAGACCAGCGACGAGGCAGCGTTGGCAGACTAAGCCTTTCACGGGGTGATCCTGTAAACGAAGCTCCAAGAAGGGCCTCAGCAGGTCAATTCCAATGCTCATGCAGTAGGAATACAGAAGGACGGAGAAACGTAGCAGTGCGTCACGGATTCTACTCTTTGACTCTGGATCCTTGCAGCAACTTGCTTCGAACCTTCTTTGAGGAACCAGCATCTTTCGCTCAGAATTCAACATGGGAAGCAACGGTATAATGACACCACCGAGCACTAAGCAGCAGTGGATGGACAGGATGAAATTTCGGCATCCTGTTATTGTGTACAGTCGCTTCATCGACACGGGCTTGCATACAAGACATTATAGAATATCGCAGACTCCGCTTTGGCTGGCGGGACGGAATGCCCGAACGTGGCTGCACCACCAACATCACTGTCAAATTGTCCCCATCACAACTCACGACCATCCCTACCACATCCTCACTGGTGGCTTTTCGTCGTCCTTGCCATCAGTATCACCATTGCTCTTAGCACCGATATGCTCTTCCTGTGCGTCGTCCTCAGCGGAACCACTACATCGCCACGATTACCAGCATAACCATATACCACCATCACCATCAGCCTCAGTTGGCTCGGTCTTCATCCCATAGTCTTCGCGAGCCATCACCTTCGCCAGCATGACTAGCAGCACCGCCGCCTTCACTGCCATCCTCGTCGTGATCTTCAGCGGCTGTGGTGCTGGCGATGTAAATATGTGGTTATGACAGGGGATGATGAACAACATCATCTGAACAAGGATCATGTTTCCACAGCTCCTCTGGTCTGGTCTTGGCTTCAAGCTGCGCCCCCGAAGCAACCTTACTCACTGACACAAGTTTGAGGCATGACATGTGAACACGGTCCTTTGCTTGCCAGTAGTTGTCCTGCTTGAGCACTCGGCACGGCCACGGCCCTTCAGCAGGCTGTCCAATGGCTGTGCCTGCATGTTGCGAGACAGCAAGCTGCACCTCAAACTAGTAAGCAGAACTCCTCGGCTGGCCTCCGCGGACGATAGCAGCACAGCGCCCTGTGCGTCTTGATAGCAGATAGCAGCTTCCCCACAGGCACAGCACATACCACATGCCATAGTCTAGCCTGCCTCTGGGCTGTCTGCAGTTTCGACTCTGACCAGGCATGTCAGACCGGAGATATTGATGCCTGCGATCGGATTGGCTCGACAGCAGTTGGTACAGCTCATAAAAGGGGTGGCAGGAGCCTGAGATGGTCTGAGGCCAGGACCAGCCAGTAAGTGCCCATACTGCATTTCCTCGACACCTCATTCCCGAGGACACTTTTGCCCCTGCCAATGCCGGTGGAGGAGACGAGACAAACTGAGGCTGCTGAGTCTCCAGCTCTCTTTGAAAACTCGGCTCGCCAAGTGTACAAATGGGGCACCTTGGCAAACTCTGATGGAGAGCTACTTCCAGACGGAGGCAGCTCAGTGACCCTCAGGTCCACACTGATCACCAATTCCACAGGCTTGAGGGCTGAGACCTCGACTAACGAAGCAGTGCAGCGCGAATGCAACAGCAAAGGCTGCAAGTTTGCACTGCCGACAGAGGTTGAGAGCACTGCATCTGCACGAACGACGACATCACCTGATCTTCATGAGCCATACTGACTGTAATACTGCTGTTGTCAACTGGAAGCCATAGTGCCGGACGAGGCCCTCCATCCGGCTTGCGCTGTGTGTGGTACGAGAAGCGCAGGCCTGCGCAAGAATCATGCGGGGCAGGGTCCAAAAGCTGGGAAACAGCCCAAGGCAGCCACCACACCGAGGAAGGACTGGTTCCCAAAGACCAAGCCTTCCGGCAATGCGACTGACAGAGCTCCTGCAGTGTACTACGTAATCGTCGCTGATGGCTTCGATGGGCCTGTGGTTGCGCGCGCTGATGTCTACTTCCAGCTCTTTGCCTGGTGGAAGACCGCAAGGTAGGTCTCTAAACTTCCGTGACACCATTGCATGAACTCTGATCAATGAGCTCGGCGCCAAAAAGGTTGATGGTCGGTGCTGACCCTGCCGAGCACACAGCATGAATAACCCAGCACCTGTCGGTGTCACACTGCAGGCATCTTCGCTGCTGCCTTGCCGGTTGTCCACCTGAGGAGTAAGGCATCCATCACCGATCACCCCACACCGCAGGCGCCAGCATATCGGTGGGGCAAGCGCCGTCAGCTGCAGCAGCTGGCACCGAGCGTTGGCACAGAGGCCCGGCCTCAGAGCTGAAGTTTAGGAAAGAGAGAGAGTGTTACTGAAAGGGGGAGGGAGAGAGATCCGGAGAGAGAGAGAGAGAGGGAGAGTAATGCCAGTGAGCTGATGGTTTTTGTTGCCTTAGGCTCTTGCCACTCATTGCCCCCCTCCTCACCGAGGACTTGGACCTGCCGACATCTTGTGAATGAGTGAGGCCTGGGTCTCTGTTGGCAACAGCTCATTGCTCGCTAAACGAGGAGCCGCAATTGGCAGCTCCGCTAACCAATGTTGCACAAGGGCTCGGATTTTCTGGTGCCATCCGAGAACCGACGTCGGTCTTGGATGCAGGTCTTCCCCTAGTTCCAATGTTTCAAGCAATGCCACGACAGTCGTCAACTCGTGTCAGAACTCCGTCATGTGTTGTACAGACCTTATTGCAAGCACGGCTGCCGATGTCAAGGGCTTCATCAGAAGTCACGGAGGACCAACGAGACTCCGGCTTGGTTGCGCGATGAATCGAGGCTTCATGACAATAAGCTTCCGCTACACGACAGGTTTGGCACATTCATTTGCAGGGGGTTTAGGTTGCTAGCGGACATCAGCTATCAAGCCACCAGGAGCCAACACGTGCCAACTCCTGTACCCTTCGGCAACCCCCCGGGCCCAGTACGGAATCCTTCCGAGTTCCGTCACAAGGAATGCTGTCATGGTACATGTGCCACGCTGGACTTCATACTAAACTATACTAAACGAGCCTCTGCACCCTCGATAGCCACTTCGGCCACCAAGGTCAAGCGATTCCTTGGCTGCCGGAAGTCACGTGCCACTGCCTCGCCCGATTCCTGACATGGCCTCGACTGGCATTGTAAGCTCACGGCTCAACCAATTGCAAGGCCAAGGGGTCTCGACCTAAACGAATCTCTGCTCGTTGCTGACGGATGGAAAAAAGTGAAGCCGCCGAAGCGGATCTGAAGTGGCTGCTCCGCGTTTCGGAAGCTGGTTCGGCAGACTGCAGGCCAAGGAAGGTCATTGGCCATCGAGAAATGTTACCGAAATTTAGCCAAATTGCACAAGCTCAAGCATGAGAGGAGCCTCGGCATCCATGCTGAAAAGCTCCAGCAACGAGTTGGCCATGGCCCGATGATCTCGTGCAGACATCCGAATCGCGTAAGGCCTGTGTGCGGCATCGTGAACAAAGCTTCACCAGCAACAGTTTCGATCGTGCCGCTGAGTCGTGCACGGTACGATGACAGAGCGTAAATCATATGTTGTGTGTCTCCTTGCGTGGGACCCGTCACGAGGAGAACTATTGAATCTTGAACACTCATTCCACCAAAGCCTGAACCGTAAGCTACAGGCTTCATGCGGGCACCATCATCAACACGGCACTGATCTCCGCGCACCGACCACTCCAAACCTTCAGTCGGCTCGAGCATTTGGCAGCATGTCCACAGCTTGGAAGCTTCGCTCGTACTTCATCAACTTGATACTACGCTCGGGCATGATTGCAGGTCTCCGTGTTGCCTTCTCTGCCTGTGCGTAGGTGTGGACATCACCGTTTCGGAAGGTTTCTTCTTTGTGGGAAAGTATGAACAAAAATGGGCAGGGGCGTGACAGCTCTCTTTCTCTCCCATTGCCCCTCTTGATCCAGTGTGTAATTGTTTCAAGCGCGTCCCCCTCTGCATTTTGGATTCGCTAGCTGCTGCTGCTACGTGCTCTCGGCACGGAAACGAGCGATGCTTCGAATTGCCCTCGTTGCTGTGGCAGCCGGTCGCGTTTAAGAACGAGGACGACAGATGTGGACCGCACTGCTTCTGCTGAGAGCTGGGCACGGGCACAGGGTCGTTGGACTTCTCCTGGGGACATGATACTTTCGATATCGTTGGTAATCCGTCAACGTTGCCAGTATCTACGATGCTAACCGAAGGCGATGACGATGACAGATGTTATCGATGATCGGTACAGTAGCTTGCTCTAGCCCAGTCAACGCATGTCGGAAGCCGCAGCCTGGCAGAACGCAATCGCAATGCACCACTTTCGAGGTCGAAGCGCTCGATGCGAATGCCCTGATAAGGCTTTTCCGGGTTTGTCGAGCTGGTGGTCAGCAAGTTTGATCCAAAGACCCTGCAAAACAAACATGCTCCGAGAGCTTGACGAGCCTCAGCATGCACCAGGATGTGTATCAAGACGCTTCCAGCGAACTCGAAGTGCTCTGTCGGCTCAGCCCACCTCTTCAAGACGCGTGCGCTATCAGGCTTATCACAAGTCATCGACGGCCCGACACATAACAAAAGGACACTGGATCGAACAGTGCTTGGCTCCTGGCTTCTCTGCAATGGCAAAGGAGCCGTCAAGAAAGTTGACCTACCCCGATGTAGCGCACAAACTGCCCCCGAAAGGGCTTCCGACATCTGCAGACCCAGCATGACACCTGCACTCGTGTACCTCGCTTGTCTGTAACTTTCGGATCTTCACCTGCCAAGTCTTCTCTTGCAAATTGCAAAGTTGGCCGCCGGTGGCATGTACGAGTCCAAACGACGAGGCTCCCGCCGGCAGAAGGATAGCCCCTGAAGTGTCTGCTTCTGCTACTGCTGCTACAGAACACAAACATACAACAACATTAAACGACCAAAGCCTCGGCTGCGTTGTGCTGGGCAATACCTAGGCGGGATCTCAAGTCTATGGACGTCGGGCTGCAACCATGAAGTGAGAAGTGGAGCAAAGGTTCAGCTCCCCGCCCGGTCATTGCGAAACGTACAGTGCCTCACTCGAAGCGGATTCTTTCCCCCATATATAACCTACGTGCAGAGTTATCGGTGCCCATTAACTGGAGAACATGGACCTGCATGGTGTTCGTGGTGGGTGGTGCGATGTTCCCTACTGGCAATGGCGCTCGGCACGGTGTGGAAAGCAAAGAAGAACAGGCAACTAGCAACAATTGGGGGATATAGGTGGGCTGAGGTGAGAGTGATACCGCACGGGATTGAACGTTTCAACGTTTCTAGTACTCAGTATAGGCTCTTTCTGCAGCTCCACAGATCAAAATTAGCCGAGGCGAGGTATGATGCTGTGACGGAGACACATGAGGAGTGGAACCCCAGCCTCATTCATGTAAGGGCAGGGTAAGGTCTTGAAGTCAGGATGCGAAAGTGCATATCCAGTGCCAGAAGTGTCTGGGATCGCAGCTGCTTCCATCGCTGGGCTCCGAGCTGCCAGGCTGAAAGGCCTGCCGTAACCAAGTCCATGACCTGAGACACTGGGACACTTACCTTTGGTTAGTCGGGCATGGAAGAATGGGGTGCAATTATAACTACTATTACTAATTACTAATTATTACTGTACTACCATTCTTCCATTCCCTACTAACCAAAGGTAAGACACTGGGACAGGCTGGGCAGCGCCAAGTGAACGAAACGGCGACTCAGGTTTCGAGGCAGCTGCCAACTGGGGGAGCACGTGCATTCTCGGGTGCTGCAGTTGGATCACCTTCGCGCACATGCATGAGAAGGCAGGATGCAAACGAGCACACGCTCGGCTATTGAAACGATCGGAATGGTCTGCGCATGTCTGGGCTAGGAGCAGCCAATGTGTCCGTATCCACTGGTACGTTGACCTCAAAAGTGAACAATTTGCTGTCGGTCAGCTCAGCACCGGCCCACGTGCAGCCCGTTACTTCGAGAAGCACAAGGCCCCAGCTTCCACCTTGAAGCCGAGCACACCTTCATTGTCAGTATCCACGCACCTGGAGACAGGCAATCTGTGACCAATCCGAAGAGACACCCACACACGTGCATGCATGCACAAAAGAATTCTCTGAGCCACTGAGAGATCAACTCCAGCAGTGTCTTCACCACGTTCTTGGAGCGCGTCCGCAAGTCAACAACCTAAGCTGAAGCTCACCAAGGAGCTCGCATCTCACGGGCGTCCCACCCTAAGCTCAGCTCTGCCAGCTTCGCACTTTTCCATTCGTAGACCGTCCTTGAGATGGGAGCTTGCGCGTCTCGCGTGTGTGTCATGCGGTCTTGCAGCCTTCAACCCCTCTTACTTCGACGATTCTACAGCTCTGTAAAGCACAGAATCGAAACATGTTGAAAAGCTTCTTTGCCAAATCGGACGTTTGAGGACGCTGCCCGGCGGGTGAGCTGCTGAATGCGAGCATTCCCTCGCGCAGCCGAAGGCATGCCAAAGGTACTGCCTGCCCGAAAAACATGAACGACTCTGTCACAGGCAGTTTTTCTTCTCAGGGGCCTCTGTAAAGGACACGTGAAATTTCAGCTCGCCAGGCCACCTCATGGGCAACCGTCTCTTAGGGAACCATGGAGTTTACAAAACCTGATTCCAGCCGGACTCGGACCTCCAGGAAAAGCGAAAGCCCCGACTCTTTGGGCGTGCATTTCCGCCTCGCGGCGTGCGCTAAAGGGTCGGGTAAAGGGGCTGAAGCGGTAACCGCAGAGAGCCCGAAGGGTTTGGCCTGTCGGGGCTAGCTCGCGAGCTGGAGCTGAACCTGTGCGATTCCCAGCTCCTCTGCGTCCAGTCAAGCGCACTTGGACCTGTCGTTTGCGACCCAGATCGTCCGGTGTAGCCTGCAAGGTCAAGCCCACAGCTCGAATCAGAAAGGACGGGGATATCTGTCTTGGCTTCTGACAGATATTCTCGGCCAACACGTCCAATATGAGGGTAAACCTCATCAATGGCAGTGAAATATCTATCCGGACATGAAGGAGCACGCCTGCAGTGACAGTGAGCAAACCTCATGAAAGCTTTCAGGTAAAACGGCCTCATGGGTACTCAGCTGCATACTTTCAGAGGAGACGGTACCATAACTCAATGATGAGACTGGCAGTTTTGACTTGTGCCTCTGGTCCCTCATACCCGGCACCCAACTGGGGCGCTGCTTGTGCCTCTTAGGCTCGGGCTGCGCCCGGGTCAGAGACATTTGATGGTCCACGACATCGCCACCATCCACTTTGTCCGAAACCGCATGAAACTCGATAGGCCTGGCATTTCAGGAGGTTCAGCGCTGAAGATCGCAGTATCACAGCCGGTCCGACCCATCGCTTGGCATCTGCAGTACAGCTTGAAGGCCTAAGAGCAAAGAAGCCACGAAGGATGAGTTCGTTGGTGCAAAGGTTCCGATCTGAGTACCCATCTGACAGGCCAAAGCAGTTCGCTGGTCAGAGGCGGCTCTCGTGGCTCTGCCTTTGCCACTTGCCGCAGCAGAAGTATGCTCACGCGTGTCTCAGGTTCGATGCTTTGCGCAGGTCGACAAGTCATAGCACTCGCTCTGCAACAGCTATGGGTTGAGCTCTGCTGTTTGATTCGTGATTCGTGAGACATTCAGGCACGGCTTTTCCGCGCCAACGAATTTCACCCACATCTGCTTCTGGTGGGTGGGTGCTAATGGGTGCTATGTTTGGGTACTTTCGAGATCAAGTGCTTCTCTCACGGTCGAATCCAATTTCGCCTGAGGGTTGCACATATTCGTTTGTCTGTCACGATGGGGAGCACTGTTGGCACGAGTGATTGAATGCCAAAGCACGTCAAGACGGCATTCTTGCACCAGTTGCTGCAAATGCAGCGGTGCCATTTTGACTGCCGTGTCCTGCCGGAACACTTGCTAGTTTGCTCGCGGAGAGGACTTTCGCGTTTGTGTCAGAGCTCCTTCTGACTCATCAACGTCGACAACTCTTCTCTCCTGGCAGAGCTGCCCCCATGACTCAAAGCACCAAAACCGTGACAAACCGAACAGACGTGCCTTGCTGCTTGAAGTGTCATCGTCTGGATGTTCTTCGCAGCTGCAAGCGTAGCATTGTTTAGAGCATTCGCTGCGGGACCGCCGATCGCTGTTTGGAGTGAGTTGGCTGCCTGGCAAAACCAGAAGCTGTCACACCAGCAGACTCCGCAGGTGAAGTCAGTTTCGAACTGTCGCGCCTCGAAGGGGTCGGACTCAAATTGGGCAAGAGCCGACTCGATGGCCTTCTTTGCGGCCTCTCGGTCCTTCTGCTTGGAGTTCGTGCCTGCAGCTGCACGGGCATGTTCTCCATCTTGTCTCCTGGTCCCGTGATCCCTCCATGCCTCGCTGAGGCCCTCCTATGGCGAGGCTGCCCCAGATGTTCACCTGCCTGCTGACACAAGGTTTCGGATGCCCCTATGCGTTCTGCCGGCATACAGTGCTTGAGATTCAGTCAAGCTGCACACCAAATTCACCACGAAACTTGGCCCAAGCTTTGCTCAGCGAAGACTTGGAGTCTTCCAATGCCGTAGCCAAAGCTTCTGCCTCTCATAGCAGAGCCGTCTTGAAATCATCAGCTGTCGATCGAATCAGTGCCCATGAGGTCCTGCCTCGACTGGGCCCCAAGCCTTCGGGGAGCCTCAACCAGTTGTGAAAACCCGTCTGACACTGCTTCTGCATGGCTGGTGGGCGACCGAAGTGGTTGGAAACTGCCCCGTCTGCGCATGCACTTTTCGCGGACGACTGACTCTAGGCATGGCTCTCGTGCTTCAGTATAAGTGCGGCACCTTTCAACGATAAAGGCGCCGTGGGTGGCTCGAAAATGGTCTCTTCTGCTGCCTAGCACCAAAGAGCTCAACAACGACCTTGCGCTGCGTAGTGCAACACAACACAGAGTGTGCCTTGTCCAAGGCATATCCCGACCCGCCACCATACTCCACTCGGCTTGTGGCTTCACTCTCATCCTGCCACATGCATGCATTTTTGTAGCATTGTAGTAGTCTCGTTACAACGTGTTCGTCGCCTTCTCACACGGGCCACAGCCACAGTTCTGCTGCCCCATCCTCAGCTTGCGTTAATCGAAGGAAGGACTGGCAGTATAGGAACTTGCACATCATGTCCGGTCGATCAACGTATCAGTTACAGAAGACTACGCTGACACCACATCCGAAGGCTGCCTGTGATGTGGCTGATGTGGCTCAGAGGTAAGCTGCAGGCAGCAGGGCGCGGAGTTGGCTTTCCCTCGTTTGGAAGGCTCGTCAAGCTTGAGCCGTACGCTGCAGGGTGCCGCAGGTGTTCCACTGAACCAAGCAGACTGGAGACATCTCTTTGACCTCAGCTCGCAACCGATGCTACATCTTGCTGATACCTGATGACCATCTGGATGGGCTGCTCTACAAGAGTTGACTGCAGCGACGAAGAAGCGGAGTATCCCACACGGGTGCAGTTGTAAGTGCGTCGCAGCGTTCCCAGGACCTGGGCTCCACGAAGCTGCAGCTGCACCTCAAGATCTCAAGCTTAGGGTAAATGCAAACCCGCCGCAAGCGCTCCCCGTCCCGTCGACTCCTCGTTCCGCAGGAGCCCACCGCCAGAAGCCGCAACGTGGCCGAAGTCGAGCGTAAGGCAGCCTTCGCCTTTGGGCGGCCTCAAGTCTCGGAGCCGAAACGAGCCGAAGCCCAGAAGACTTCAACGTGGCCCCGATTCTGAGTCTGGGCCCCTGGGCCTGTAAAGAGGCTCGCCGCAGGCATCGTCCACCTTTGCTTCAAAGCGGCTCACAAGCTGAAGCGCTCAAGGAGGTCTCTTGCCTCCAGCTGCCCTCCAGCACTCTGCAGCCTGCAGCTGATCTTCAACATCAATCAACGTTGACTCATGTTCGGCACTGCGCCAAGCAAAAAGCCTCGGCGGAGAAAGGCAGCGCCCGTCCGTGGGCCTGGAGCATCTGTGTACTCTCGGGCTGGGTCGTTCAATGCACTCGCAAAAAGCAGGCTTGATCTCCTTTCTCCATGTGTTGTCCACGGTCGGGTCTGGGTGGGTCTGCAGACGAATTCTGCACTATATTGGCTATATGCATCTATACACCTAGGAAAATCTACCTATGAGATTACTGACTGCTGACTCAAGACGCAGCTCACGCGTCCCAGTCATTGCCAAGGTCGATGGTGCAGCCTAGGGCCAGCATATCGGGAGCCTGCACTCACAAGACGAGGCGAGGGCTGCACAAGCGTAAGCTAAGCGAGCAACCGTCTGTTTCGGAGCAGGTCACCCATGGGTGGGCCAGGCACTGTTGAATGCTCAGGCGTTTTGAAACATCCTGTGCACGGAATCGGCAGCATCGTCCCCGGGATATGCTCATAGTCTCACAGTCTGTCCTACAACTGCAGGCATGGTAGGCATGCATCCAACGCTCCTTCTCCAGCATCCTTTCAAGAAGATCTTTGGCTTCTTGCGAGCAATTAGCAAGGGCAGTCTTGTCATATTCGGACCTGTTGGCAGCAGGTATTGTGGCTGGAAGTGCTAAGAAGTCGGCACATGGAGGCCTGATGATTTCCATCTCCGTCCTGCAGGAACATCGTGGCAAATGCAAGTCAAAAGCCTCATCAAGCTGGAAGTTCCTGAACGGAAGTTTTCCGGACAGGCAGGTGTACAAGCAAATGCCAGCAGACCTCGGCGAAGAAAACTGTGTTTTACCCAGTGACACACACTTGCGAAGCTGGTCAAAGAGGCAAGCCAAACATCCACCTTCGGACAGAAGAATGGCTCAGACCTGCTCCAGCCACGGAATATCTAATCACCATTTCGCAATAAGCCAGTTACAACCTGCCTAGCCTGGGGTCAGCCGCGGGTGACAAGACCGACACACCTGAGCGCGTGGACGGCACATGGAAACGTGTTGGAAGCTCACGGCCAGATCTTCTCCACGCAGTGCTGTTTGCAAAAGCAGTTGGGGGCATGCAGGAATGGAAAGAGGACGCAACTTGACTGCAGGAGCCGGTGCCGCCCTTAAAACGACCAGCCTAATGAAGTGGATACATGCGCATCAGCACCAGACTAGGAGAGCAGAGTGTCGTAGACTTGAAGCCCAGCCTGGCTGCGGGCCGTCCCAGCTAAAGCTTGCATGGACCGCATTGACCTCGAAGGAAGCGCCAAGCGATTCGCAGGGAACTCGAGCCCGTGCTGGCGTGCTGAGGCAGCTACGGGTCCCAACTTTGCTTTGGCAACTTCTGGTGCCATGATGGACCTCGGTTGCCAGGTCGTTTCGTGCCACACGACTGGAAGCGTTTTGAAACAGCAGGGAGGCCGGCGGCGTGCCAACCACAGTCTTCAACGGCCCGTGGCCCAGGCACTTGGCGACCTGAGCATGCTGCAATTCTGCTGTGAGTCACGAGATCCGCACGCTCCAGCACTCCATCCGCTTGGTATACGGCTCCGAAATCGATCAGCTTGACACGGCTGTGATGGTCGATCACATCGCCAGTGACCATCACGTTCCTCAACAGCCAAGGGCCAAGGGATCCGCTTCGATCCTCTCGCAGAACACCCGACAGCTGCTCCAGGCAAGATGCTCCGGTTTCAGGTCCCGGTGGATGATGCCACGGCTGTGCATGTAGGAGAGCCCATCGAGAACCTGGATCAACTCGAACATTGGAAAAAAACACAGAGAAGGATTTGTCATCAGCCGTGCCTGCAGGAAGATGTGGCGAGCAATCGACTCTCTCAGAGCTCCTTGGAGCGCAATGTGTTCTGCAAGCTCCTTGCCCTGCACCACCTCGCAAGCACTGACGGGAACGACTTTTCTTTTGAGACCTCCCTGGGCCTCCATGACAACGACTTTGTAACGAGGTCGGACTTTTCCGGCATGGTCCACGCTATTCACTGTGGCCGTGGACAGCAGCCCAGCCTCATCAACTCTCAATGGCCGAAGGCGCTGGGAGACTTTGGCCCCCGACAATGTTGTCGTGCTTCCCAAGCATTCTCAGTGTGTCGAGCTCCCCATTAATCGATGCCAGCTTCTTCTCCTGTTCACAAGACTGAGAAGGGTGTTTTGGTTTCAGTTCTCTATCCGGTCGCACCTCGAACCCGGGCTCGAGGACAAGTCTCCATGTGGGGATGACCTTCATCTTTCAATCAGCTGCCTTTCCCAAGGCTTTGACGCCCGTGGCCTTGATGGCCACAGGATGGCCTTCTTCGGCTCGTCCTCTGTACCTTAAGCACAGCTTTAAAATTTCGAGCTGCTGCCCCATGCGACGTCCGCAGGGCTCAGCTCCGCACACGGTGCCCTGGCAGGGCCAAGGCGAATCTGGACTCCAGTAGCCCTACGAATAATCACGTGGTTGCCGGAACCATCTTCACCACCACCAGCATGAAAAGTAGCATCAGCGTGCCATCATCATTGGCATCATCTGCATTGTGTATCCTCGTCCTGGTTGATGCCGTCAGGAAGAAGACCAACGGCGATTCGTGTCTCATGAGTAGCATTGTACTCGCTGAGGTCACTGCTACCTGCTTCTGGGTTGCTATCTTACATGCTGCTGCCACATCATTCATTTTACTGTTGCCATGATTGGCGGTCCGGCTCTGCCAGTTTTACAAACTCGCGGATGTTGCTTTCTTCCTTATCCACTGTTTCATGCAATCCTTGTTGTGCCTGTATTTACGTTATATCGTATATGCATATGAACGCAAGCATCCTGAGCTAAAACCGCTGTGCTTCACGCTTCTCACGACTGATCGCCAGGATCAAAGTAAGCTGGTCTTTCGGTAGCGACGGGCACCCAAATCAGGACATTAACTGGAACATACTGGAACACCCTGGAGAGGACATTGGAACCTCCATGCCCGCGAGGACGATACGCAGCCCAATTTCATGCGTCCAACGCAAGACCCTGATGCACATAGTGACCCGGGCGACATAGCGACGGGAGACAACTGAAGGCCCCTTCGCCGACCGAGACTCCGATAGGCTTAGGACACCAACCAGGACATCGAGTTCGATTGCCAGCACGAGTGTGAGAATGCGGCTGGTTGTGTCGAGTCTCTGTTGCTCTCTGTCACGATACAAGGCGCCCCCTCACTTCTGCAAGTGCGTAGGGGCTGAGTACCGCTACCTGCTGTCTAGTGGGAAGTGGGACTTTCTTCCGTTTGTTGTCTGCTGTCAAACTCGAAAATGTAGTCTCCTGAGGTCCCAGAACTTACTGGTGGCTTTCCGCACACGTTAAGATGCCCTCATATTGTATATCATATCAGCGCCGCGGTGATGCTCTGTCGTAAATGGATGTGACGCACGAGAAGTGCATTTCACATCATTTCACTACTCCCAGCGATTCTCTGCCCGACTGGGCCATTTCTGACTCGACTGCGCTTTGTTCCAGAAGCCCGCCAACTTGAGTTGAACTTAAAACACTATACAGCTGGGTCTATGGCCTTCATCATCTGGCACTCAAGCTGCTAGTGCTTCTCACAGCATGTCTACAGCTATCGTGCCTGCGCTCCGGACCCCAGGACTTGGTCGAAGAAAATCTCGTATCTGTGGCCGTTCTCGTAGCAGATCTCGGACTCGGTAATCCTAAGCATGCGGTCTTGCAGGGTAAAGAGCTCTCCAGGGTATTCCATGCATTGCGCAGCATGCTGTAGTACTGTAGCTAAGCCTGGCTCTCCTCAAGCCCCTTGAGAAGCGTTGCTGATCTCAGAAACCTGACGCGCTGAGCAGCGCACGCCGTCGAAAGACCACACGACACGACGGCAAACAACACTTCGCCTCCGGAAAGGACGCCGAGAAAGGAGGCTCGAAGCGAAGCCGGTTGCGAGCCAGGCCGGCCACGCCCTGTTAGCCACAGCCTTCCCAGCCTTCACTTCCAGCCGCCACCCGTGTTCGTGTTGGCTCCTGCTCGCGGGGCCGCCCTGGCTCGGCAACGCCACGGCCCGAGGCGCTCGCAAATGCCAGAGTTCAACTCGCTCTGGGCCATTGCCATAGCGGAGACATGCCATGAGTCAGAATCGGAATTTCTCACATGTCCCGTGCTGTCCAGCTCGCAAACTAAGCTGGTTCACTGTTGCGTGTTTACACTGTACCATGCGCCATTCTTTCGGCATTGTGATACTAATGCTGCGTCATGAGGGCATAGCAAGGCGAAGCTGTCTGTCGCAGTCACAGGTGCAAAACGCACAGGAGCCCTGCATCAGCTTGGCCCGCTGCAGAAATACCATTGGTGCGCCAATGTCCAGCTGAAAACGTGCCTGAGGAATCGGAAGTTCAAGTACAGGTGCTGGGTCAGCATCTTCAGGCCACTCAGCCAAGCTAAGCTGCATGCTCCAGGCTGCTCAACCTGTTAAAGCAAACGCCCGCATCGTGATCTTTCGTGGAGGCCCCGTGCAGACATCAGAATCCAACTGCAAATCAAATGCGAGGGCTGAGGGTGTGCCAAGATGTGCCAGGCCTCGTTGCTTTTCGTCGCATCAGGCTTTTCCACCTGCAGTCGAAGGAGGTCTCACGGAGCTATCGAACTTTCACCAGCGCCGGCAAACTCGTGACCCTGAGCTGCAGACCTGGCCACCACTTTCTCCAGGAAGTGCCTGCAACAACAATCGCTTGCACTTCACTTTCTGCTGCATTAGTGCGGCAGTGCCAGCCTCGGGCCATCGTCGTGACCTTCAACCGTAGACGGAGTGGCAAGCAGAAGGCTAAATCGGCGAACTAGGTCCCCCGACGGCATGGCATCCTTGATGGATTTGCTCACGAAGGCAACGAGCATGTCGTAATCCTTCTGCCTCGCACACGATCTGCGCCGCTCCCACACCCAGCGAGCCTGTGTGGGCTGGCGGTCCTGAAGAGAATGCAGATCTGGGCCTCAGCACGAAATATGAAGCCCACAGAAAGAACTGCAAGGCAGCACGCTGCACGAGAACTCCACGCGCCAAAGCTTCTTACATCGCAGACTTCCATGAAGCGTTGGAGCTAGGCTTTGGCTCAATCCATCGCTGATCTCGTGACAACTTCCTTGCGCGCTGCTCGGAACTTGTCCCAAACAATTGGATTCTTGGACGCGGAAGGCAGTCTCGGCCGAACATGACCGTCCAGAATCAAAAGCATTCCTTCGCGGACATCCTCGTACTTTCGGAGAGGCGCAAAGAGTGGGGATATTTGCGATTCCGGAACCTGCTGGAGGAGTGATTCCACCATGTGTCGTAAGACCAAACCCAAGATTCCCCGCAGCCCCTGGCTGCCACCACCGTCCTCGTTGTCGCCACCAAACCGCATGAAGCGAATGATCGAAACTGGTAGCATCACGCTGTTGGAGGCCATCATTGAAGCACATAACTCGGCCAAGCAAACTGCAGCTCGCACTCCATAGGTGTGCGCTTGCTGTATATGTTGCACGGCTGCTCTTTTCATACCGTGCGAGAACCTCTTGCCTGCAGGGGCCGGCAGGCCACAAAGAGCATGTGCGACATGAGAATAAAAGGCATTCGGAGCCTTCTCGCGAATGGCACAGTGAAAAAGGACGATGCAGCATTCAACACAGCCAGCCTTAGCAGCCGATGCTGCCAAAGACAATCGCTCCGCTGCGTCCTGAAAATCCTCGGCCCCCATAAGGGCTACAAAAAGACTCTGGCGCAACTCGGATGTTAGGCGCTGTGCAACAGCAGCATCCCTGAGTGGGTCGGCAAGAGTGCCCCTTTTGGATTTGGCCAAAATGGTCGAGGCGCCCCCCTGCAAGGGCCAATTAGGAGGAGCCTCGTCTTGCATCAGCTGGAAAGGAACTGCTAAAGCATGCTCCTCAACTTTCTTGCCTGCCAACATAGGCGCCGTTTGCAGCCATCCCTGGGTTTGCTTGAAACGATCCATCACAGAAAAGGAAACTTTGTTGTTCTTCAGATCGGCCAACTCTCGCAACAGGTAGTCCAGGCGTGATTTAATCTCGGAGCCATCATCAGACTTGTCTCTGGAAGTGCTTGCTTCTGCCGTAACGAAATTGAGAACAGCCCGGAAATCTTCCGGACAATCGGATCGTAGCTTCCGGCCGCCATAGCGTAGTATTGCAAGAGATAGGTCAATTGAGAGTTCCGAGGCGGATCCAGCAAAAACGAATCGCACAGTGTCGAAAACAACGCTCCCGGGCAAGACTCCGAAACTGAAAAGCAGCATCTTGAAAATGATGCTGTTCTTGGCAACACGAGCGTCCGGATTTTGTAGCTCCTCCTCGTTGTCCTCCTTTTCCTTCTCCCCTCTATTCTCCTCCGCAGCTGCCATCCGATCCTTGAGAGTCTGCGCGCTCTTCAAGAGAGCTGCAGCCCCAAATGCTGGCCCCAGAAGTACGTGGCAAGCGGCCACCAATGCCGCAAAGCAGCCCAAGACAAGGACGGAAATGTTGGGATCACCTACTGCCGCCTGCAACAAAGCTTCTGCAAACTCATCAGCAGCTGCAGCAGAGCCCACCGACGGCACCAGCTTGCTCAGCAGCTGCACGAGTTCATTACAGCTTGGATCCAAGTTCCCCTCAGAAACACGATTCAAAATACCTCTCAGCTGGCGCAGGTGCTGCAGTTGCACGGTGTCTTGCGTCTTTTTGCCGCGCAAATGCGGAGGGATGTACCGGCCTTGTTCATGCTCTCCTCCAGCGCTGGGATTCTCACCCTGCCCACTGCCGTCAGAGCTACCGACTTCAGCATCATCTTCTTCCATCTCTGACTCCATGTTCTCAAGAGCGGAACCTTCATGTGCATCTGCCGTCTCCGTGCCTGCGGCGTCCTTGCCCTCTTCACCTTCCGCCAGTTGACATTCCTCGGATGTGATTTCATCGTCGTCATCCATGCGTCGCATCTTCTTGCTGCCTGCTTTCATTGCTTTGCCTATTTGGGCTTTCTTTGCTTTGCTCGTGGCATCAGGCCGCCCGTTCTCCTCTTCCTCAGCAGCCTCGGCATGACGATGGCCACCGAAGAAGTGCGCGCGCCGCGCCTTCTTGTCCTTGCGCTGCTGTCGACGCTGCACCCGCCTGGATGCACGGGGCCCCTGCAGCGGAACCGGGGATGCATTGCCTGATTGCTCGCTCTTGGCCTTTCCTTTGCCACTTCGAGCTGCCTTGCCTTTGTCCTTTCCTTTGCCTTTGCTCTTGCCCTTTCCGCCCTTGCCCTTTCCTTTGCCCTTCCCGCCCTTTCCTTTCCTACCTCGATGGAGCAGGTGATCCTCTCCACCTTCTCGCAAGACTTGCCCAACGAAGCTGCGGAGCTCCTTCTGTACGCTCAACTTGGGCTTGGGCATTATCTTCGGGTGCCATGTATGCAGCAAATGTTCCGTGAGATGGCATCCATGGCCTGCAGGATACCCGGAGCAAGCCTATCCGGTAGATGCCGTAGATTTCGGATGAAGCTGCTTAGAAGGGTTGCATGCCGGACAACTTCGACGCTAAGAATCACCTAGGACACCACCGATGCTGAACCTCAGACATGCCATACGACAAATTGCATTCTGAGCAACAAGGCTGACACAGTGCTGCAGTTTTGAATGCGGTTCCCAGAACATAGCGGAAGTGGTGTTTTGGAGTTTTGGAATATGTGGGGTCGAATGGAAAGCACCTGCTCCACCGATGCGCCTTAAACGGCTCCGCTTTCCAAAACAAGCTCTGCGAAGAGATTCTTAACAGGGAAGCCACACTCGAATGATGGCCGATTGGTCCGCATTTGGATGTGCTTCATGTGCGTTCATGTTTTGTGCAAAGAAGTGCGGGCAGGCTCCGCTGGCCACAAGGTAGCCCTACAAACCCCATTGCGCTCATGCTTACTGGCCAGATGACGAACCACCGCCAGCATCAGTCAAGATATACATATTGGCGAGCAATCCAGAAACATCTGAGACATGTTTACCTCCTCTTTCTAGGAAAGCATTGCTGGGGTACCTAGCGAAGTTCAGGAGCTGTCACCCTGGAGAAGCACGACAAGCCGCATACGATCATCTTAATATGTCGGTGCACTGGTGATCATTTCACGTCCACGATTCTGAGCCGCCCCATGAACCGTCTCCCGCAGCAAAGCCAAGGCCGCAACCCACGATGCCGTCCATGACAATGCCGGTTCAACGCGAGATCGGCGGAGGATGTTCACCTGCGCATATATGTAGACGCTGCCTGTTACGTCTCCCCAAGAACTGGATGTCACAGAGAAATTAGAAGCAGCAACCCCTTCCCAACCGACCTATGGAGACAAAGTCTTGAGAAGGGCTTATAAATCCAGCTGTCGTCTGCAGCTTTCGTGATACGCCAAAGCAGCAAAAGAGTCGTTACAGCAGTCCGGTTGTTCGGCAGTCTAATGGCCTTGAGAAGTTTCTCCCCTCGCCGCGGCATCAGCAGCCTCCGGCCATCCTCGACTCGAGCTTTCTCGTGCTTCGAGCTAAAAGGAAAGGATCCGAAAGATCCGGGCGAGTTCGAGCGTCACGGCCACCAGCGACACCTCCGGTGAATTCTACGAACCCCGGGAGTTCGAGAGGCTGCGCTGGGAACCGTGCGGCAGCGGAAGCGTCTCCGGATTGGAATGCTCGAAACGAACACTCGGCGCCATTCACACCAACCTCAGGCTCTGCACTCCGGTCTCATGATTCGCTGGTGGAGGTGGAGGTGCTTCCAACCCTTCGCCCAACAATCATCAACTCACGATATCATACCACCTGCACGTTATCACAGTCAACACCCTCATTCTCACGCTCATGCGCATGGCTAAGACTAAGATGCATACGGAGCTTCCCATTACGGACAGTTGCCGATGTGTAGCCATCTTCGTCGAGTCTTTGTATGCTGCCTTTGACCACAATGACAACTTAACAAGTACGTATTACTCAAGTACCAGCGAGTCGGAGTGCTTCTAGTCATCTGCAAACACCACGTAAACGCAAACATCACATCGCTACACTATGAAACCACGAAAGGACAGCTGTGACAAATTGAGCCTGCTCCACAAGCCTGCTAAGCCCAGCCATGCCACCTGCACCACAGGTGGTCCATCGGGAGGACCTTCGCGGTGTTCGCTCCCGGGGAAAACCTTTGAAATGCGAGCCGTATGGTCTGCAAGCCAACCCAGGATGAGTTGAGGGGGTGGCGATATCCAAACCTTCGTAGAACAGGACCACCTTCGCGAGTTGGAGAAGGCTCGGACCAGGTGACGACAAAGCTGTCAGGTTTTGGGATTGCTGTAGTCGCAACCCGTGGACCTTGACATGCTTCACCACAATGACGGACTGCTTGCACACATGTGGGCAAGACGGCAAATGCTGGCAACATGGCTTTTTTCAGTTGATTGAGCGTGTAAGATCCAACATGAGTGCAGAAAGTGTTTGAAATTTCGGCAAATGCTTGTGGGCCTCCACAGAGCAGGAACCCCGAGGTTGGAGGCATTCCGCGTCCTGGTCTCAGGCCAATTTGGCAAGCGCAAGTGCGGGCACCAAGGTTTGCCTCACTGCTCTTGTGGCTTTCCTGTTCGGTGTCCTGCCAGATTCCGGATTCAAAGACATGGGCAACTGCTGGTGCTGGTGCCAGATATGTGCCTGATGCGCTGCCAGGCCTTGCCAGAGACGACATTCATCTTGAGATCATTGCAACAAAGAACCTTCATGAGGCGGTGACCGGCGTCCGGGGCTGCACCTGGACTCTAGACCCGAGACTAGAATGTATTTTTGAAAATCGGAACTTCAGGACAGGACTCTCTCGGAGCATGTCGTGCCTTGCTCTACGCCTGGAACTAGTTCAGCAAGCCGCTGTGCGGCCTTCTGCTTCACCCGCGCCTGTGCTGTTTTTCATGCAGCCGGCAGTGTCAAGTGACGATACACTACCTGTATTGGATGGACCACATAGGCGCCCCAAAGCCTCAAAGGACGGTAATGACTCGCCGTGGGACTTCTGTGGGAAGCTGACCGGCACTGTCACTCTACAAGAGCATCGGTCCATTGCGGGACCGGCGCACGGCCCATGGAAGTTCAGGCCAAGGCTTGGCAAACATCCCAGCGCTGTCTCCAACCGGCAGAAGCCCCTGTCAGCAAGGACTTCATCGGATTTACTGCTGCCCTGCAGCGAGCTGCGAGAGTTGCCGGCTCCTGCACGTGCTCGTGTCCGGCGGCCAGAGCCTCCCAAGCCTGATCAGCTCGCCAGAGAGGACTCCTGCTGCGATTGCGGGCGGCAGCTTCCGTGGCCTCGTAGAAGGCTCCCAGGACCTTGCGTGACAGCGCTCCGAGGGCACTGCTAGTTGCTAGCTCGTACTTCGAGCTGCCTCGCGGATGGGATGTTCATGCCACCTTGAGGCTGCAGACGAGCAAACAATCTACTCCCGAAAAACATCAGTAAAGACGAGATGTGCCTGTACTCTCAGCTCATGGCTTTACAGCAATCAAAGTGCTGCCTCCGCGAACGTTCACGTGATGATCTGCGCTTCTGACCTCGCAAGGCAAAGAAACCTTTCGATGTCGTCATAGAACAGAGTGACATGAAGCACACAAAAATGCAAGTACTGTCCGTGCAGCGCGAATCTATTCAACACTGCTGACAATGAGTGGCTGGCTTGAAGAGATGCACCGCGGGTGAAGGAAACCAGCACCGTACTGTCGCAGGAGAGGTGGCAAAGCGCGACCTGCGATCTAATGCAACCCCACTTCACTCGAGATGCACTCGCATGTGCAAACCCGGCTGGCCTCGCCCGAGACGTCGCTGCGAGATTCGTAGCCCGAATACTGGGCTAGGATTCCATCCAACTCCAAGGAGACCTCAGGCTGGCACGTCAGTGCTCGGGCCTTCGATGTCGATCGGACAAGAGCCGCCTTGTGGCCAGACGCAGGGTACAAAACCTCAATGCGCTGAAGGCGAAGAAGGCACGAAGTCTTTTCCGGAGAGCTTCAAACCAAAGGTAGGAACCAGCTGCGTGGTCGCGATGCTCAGCTTGACATGAACCTCATCGCTGCAGGTGCTTGTCAGCACTGGTTTCTAGCTTCCGCATTCAGCTGAGGTGGAACCTTGGGATGTACTTTGCCTCCCGGCTCCTGCAACAATCAATGATAACATGTGCAGCCGGGAGCTGAAGGTCAGCCACAGGGAAGAAAGAAGAAAACCCACACGCATGAGAGGCACGTGAACGAGCATCTGTCATACTACATGCTCTTGACGTGAGGAGCCCATCATACGCAGACATGGCAATCATACCACCCCTTCAAAGCGAAAGGCACTGCTGTTCGGCGAGTCTTTCCAGCAGGTCTTTCACAGCACGAGATCATCCCACAAAGGCCCTTCATATTCGAAGGGCATGTGCAGGAGGAGCCAATGCAGTGCCAATAGTTGTCAAAAGACAACCATGCCCGAGGCAAGAGAAGTGAACCAAGCGCTTGTTCCCAGCTAGGCTTGTAGGGCTTGCACGTGCAGCACATGGGCCGATTGCAGAGTGAGGTCTTGTGCAGGAGTATCAACCTTGTAGAGAATTAGCAGAACTGGCATGAAAGGTACGTGTTGGGTATATGCCTCCGTCGGGGAACGATCAGGCGTGAATAGAACCAGACAGACATCAAAGAGGCATAATACAAGCCGTTGCTGTCACTCAAGGCTCTCAGTGAATATCAGCCTTTTATCAGAGGCCTGCACACCTAGGACTAGGACGCCGTATCAGGAGGTAACGCTGCCATGCTTGAGGAGAAACATACGTGAAGCGCAGTTTGAACTGCGCTTCCCTGTACAATGTACAAGTAACCCACGAAACAAAACATGAGGGAGGTCTGTGAGGCATCCGCAAGCAGGCAGCCCAAATACACAATGGAATGTGGGTTTAACGGTTTAACGAAGTTTAGCGAGCCCTCTGCTGTCCTGAAGGACCTTCGCTTCTTGGGACTGTGCCAGGGTTCCTTCCACATTCGCGGAGCTCGCGCCGGGATCAGTCAATACCTCTACCAGCATTAGTTGCGCAGCTCAGAGGTACAAGGCATTCAGCACAAAACGCAGGCCTGAGACATTACATCGCGCAAAGGACTGATGGCGTGGTCCAAGCCTGGATCTGCCAATCGAGTTGACAATGGTACATCAGTGGCAGATCTTGAACTGATCTCTTGGAGTGTCTGGGGGCTGTTCTGATGGGCAGCTGTCCGGCCACCTGCCATGGCAACAGACACGCAGAGACGCCCTTCCTTGCTTCACTATACCCGCCCCCAGCCTTCAAGAAGAGTGGATCGACGATCCACCGGACGGACTCGCTCTCCAGGCTGAAGTCCCTGGAAAATCCGAGGTGCTTAGAGTCTCGGATCGC